GAGGTCCACGTCATTCTCACTCTTTATCCTGCAGTATATGTTTTCTTGGAAAACCAAGGCGGCAATGCATAATCACCAGCATAACAATGTCAAAAATGCGCATAATGTGGCTTTGACTGCCTAATTAGAAGGCCCCTCGAGTTTACGAGCAAAGATGAAGTGGATTTTTAAAGGAAGTTAATAATGTGTTTTTATAATGCCATTGCTTTCCCACCATAGTTCTAAGGACATCTTCACCTTATTATCACCTCATAACCAGTGCTGTGCCTGAAGTTGTTGTGTAAGTAAATTTAAAACAGCACATGACGGTTCAAGAAGCTGGGAGTAACCCTCATTCTTTACACTTATTTCACCCCAGCAGCTTTGTTCACAATTCAATTTTCAATCTTACAAATATGACCACAGGCAATTCACCCTGCTCCCACAAATAGCAGGCTATTAATAACCGAATACACAAAAGGAAGGTATCCCATTCTGGAGAAAGAAGAACTGCGCAACCAAAGCCTGTGTAGCAGGTTTTGTTGGTGTTTCGCAATACCCTCTCACAACTTTGTTTACCGTCAAGCCAAACTGTTACATCAAGAGATAGAGAGGCACAGTTCCCCCGAAGGCTTCGCTCAGAGAGAAAAGTGCCATCAAGTATCACAGAAAATTACAGGTATGGGTTTTAAGCTCCTGTTTGGGCTTCCACGTATCCAAAAACAAATAGAAACAAGTCCAAAACAGTCAAGGCTGGCCCTGATGAACTCCTGTAAAACCACAAACCTTACCCTAAAGTACCTGTTCATCTGTGCTGTGTTTACAGATGAGAACAAACCAAAGAAAGCTTTTCTGAAGGAGGATTAGTCAAAACTCTGTCAAAACAATCACACTGTAAGACTCTGTTAGTCAGAGGAGAAAGTGAAAAGTGTTTTATCTCCTATGTAGTTATTCCTTCTAGGAAAACCTTGGAAAAACCAAACTGACATCTGCCAAAGACTATCTTTTTCTAGGAACCGAAGTACCAAGAGGTTTTGGCTGAACGGCATTGTCTCAGCATGCTACTTTCAATTTCTAAGAATGATTACGGAAAAAAATCAGTGGCCCGGAAAGTTTGCTTTTAACCCCTCATTTTGGGATTACTCTGATTTTAGTGCTTTAACAGTTAAACGATCCTCACACTATTTAAGTGCTCCATTATGTGCCGCCATGTAGGAACACAATACAGACCAAAATCCCCGAAAGACAGCAGAAGTGTAATTCTTGAAAACCGCGAAAGGAAAAAAACTCAGCTGACATAGAATTCCTGGAAGCCTGTCAATGCAAATGTACTTAGTGCAAAAAAAAAAAAAAGGAAGTGAAAGGCCAGGCTGTTCTGCTTTTACGCCGCAGGGAGAGCAAGTATATGATCTACTGTTGGAGAGAAAGCTCTCAGATCAGATGTTTCAGCTGTGGACCAAATGAGTAATAGAAATTTTGTAGTTTGGGGGGACAACGCACAAATCCCAATTAAAAGTTGGCCTTATTGCTTACTGAATATAAAGTAGGTGTCCCACTGCACAAATTCAGACCTTTTTGGCTCTACATTTGTCTTATAAGTGTGGGTCAAATGGTTGTTTTGTGTGTGATGTTCTGCTCTGTTCAGGTACACTTTAACTAATGAAATTCCTGCCATTGAGGTGATCATTTTTCTGAGGATTATGAGCTTTCAGCAGAGTGTTTAATCACTGTTGACAACCACCATCCCCCTGAGGACACTTAGTATGTGTGTGTTTGAGCAAGAAAGAGAAAAAGAGACAGGCTGTATGGCTAAATATTTTTGTCCATGTTGCACACAGTTGGTGGTTTGCTCTGTGTTTGTGTGTGTTTTATGGGGGGATAGTTTGAGAAACAATTTTTATTGAATTTGTTGTTTTTATAGGTGCTCGTGGTTTGCTATTTTTGAGCGTGGACTTTCCACTCATGATGACATGTTAATTCTAGCTTAGAGGGTTTCTGTCTGTCTCTGTCTTTCCTCTGTCCTTCTCCATTTTCAGTCAACATTTGAACATTCCTGCAGTTTTGCAAAAGCCCTTTCAAAATTATAATCTAATAAGCATCTACTTTTATTTTGAAACACTCCTTTCTTCCAGTCTCATGATTCCCAATCATTATTTTTTAGTTTTTTTTCTTACATTGAGCCAAATCCAGCCAAAGTTATCCTGAGCAACTGAAAGGAATGAGAAAACACCCTTGGCAATGTCATTTTGAGAGACCTTATCTGCCAGCTACCATAATCTATCATGCAAGAAAAAACTCTGTCATAGGCAAACCCACAAGTGGCCATCTGCCTTGACAAATAGGTAGTGACATTTTTCCTCAGATTACTCCCTTTTTTTTATCAAAGAAGTATTGCTCCCCCCAACACCTCCCCAGTGCCCCTACAGGAAAAAAGATACATATCTCAACAGAATAGGCCTACACAAGTATAAAGTTTACATGTGTTATCATGCTTTAAAACGTGTATGCAAATCAAATTGTGACAACTCTGATGCTGAAAAAAGGCAACACACCCCTCTCCGCAGCAACAGGTCTGGAGGGCCCAACCAAAGCATCTACCTGGAGAACCTGAGTCAAGAAAACAAGAAAATGAGATGGAGACGCAGCTCCTTTTACGTCACCGCAGCCTGCAACAGTGTTGTAGCCATAGACTGTATATACTATGGACAACTTGGTTCAGCCTTCTGCCAGAATACGGATTTGAAGCCAAAAAGCTCTTGGTAATTCCATGTTTTTTCTCCATTTCCTGAAACCAACATTGCGCAGTAGCGTTGTACGAACTCCACCACTTGCGCAGTAACATTGTACGCATTCAGCGGGAGAGTTGCTAAGAGTTGCTGTGATGGCGCTCGGCTCAAACAGCTTATCCCCCGGGTGAGCTACACAATCTTCGTACGCCCATAGGCTGTATCAGGTGGCAATCATACAAAACTTGAACCCCCTAATAACTTTTAAAAATGGAGCTGCACAGAAAAAAGAGGACTTGAGCACAAACCAGTCTTACAATAACTACATGTCAACATCGCAAGCAGGGTGGAGAAAAAATTATGTTCTGTGTAATAAATTTCTAAAGTTTGTTCACAGCTCCATACGCTTTCTGGCCGAGGCGGGATTTATGACCTATACTGCAGCCTGTCACCAGAGGGTGCTGTTCTCGGAGTGGCGTCACCCAGCGAGGAGGCAGACGCTGTCCATTCTATATACAGTCTATGGTTGTAGCCAACTCACGTGGCCTTTGTACTTCTGGACATGCTCACACTTGTGTGTTGGTCTGCCAGGTTACGCCATTTAATATCAACGACTGTTTAGTGTTCAGCATGAACGTGCTAACAGTAACGTTTTCATTGAATGTGCTCATATTTTGGTGAATTGTCCAGCTTGTTTTGCAACTTATCTCTGGAACATGGGAGTAGTTCAATCTGAAGACTGTGAATGGTAGATCATATTCTGGGATGATCTAAGAAGTCTCAAGAGTTGCCAAGGGTAACCGAACACTGTGTGTTATGACAGCTGAAGTCAGGTTTACGGCTTTATGCTTCTAGCAGCTAGCTGATGTAGTTAGTGGTGCTGTTGAAGAAGCTCTGTCAAACATTTGAAGTAGTTTTATGAACAGATCAGGGTGGATCACAACCAACTAAAAACCCTATTTGGCTTGAGAGAGGTCTTTTTTTTTTTTGAGATTGAAGAATAGTTCACTGTGTTAGTTTGATCAGTGTTTCTTTGGTTCTCTTATTTTAGAGGTTGTGAATCCATCTTTCCTACATCAGCAGTTACAAAACAGTTGTATTTGCATAGCCGTATTGTCTTCCAACAAATATTGTTGTTTCAAAGTTTCCAAAAGTGTAAATTTTTTTCTCATGTTTGATTGGTAAAAACCACAGAAATGATCTTGTTTTTAAACTAAATATCTGTCTATGATTCCACTGCAGAGTTTGATCAAACATTTAGTTTAGGAAATGTCAAAAAAAAAAAAAGAACTATGAATGTGAACTCATTAATTTTGATCTGTGTGAAGTGAACTTTTTTGTGACATTGGCATTAAAGACGAGAGTTTAAGGGGGTGAAAAGTCTTGAAATGGCAATGAAAAAGGGACTACAAATGGACAGAGAGACAGTCAGGACAGGAAGTTCATTGATTTCTTCTACAATTTACAACTCATGCAACTCTTAAGATGTGCACTTAGATTAGCCTGAGCATCATTCATCTCAAACCAACAGTTCACACCTCCAGAGAGATGAAATAATATATCCTTGCTTGAAAAATTTAAGAAACTTTGGCTTATCAGCTTTGGGTTTTGCCAATCAAGCTTTACTTGGTTCTTGCACTTAGGATGTGGATGTTACTCACTGGTATGTGGCCATGCAAAAATTTCAGTTCCAGGTTTTTAGATGTTCCTGTTTCAAACTTCTGGTATCCCTTTGTCTGTATTCTGCTGAGACTAACTTTGGCTCCTTGTTAGGAAGCCTGGGGTCCCCCGGTTCAGAGAGCTGTAAACTACTAACAGTGGAGCCTCACAGCTTTTACGAGAAAATGTCTGACCTCAGTTAACTTGACAGAAATACCACAGAATGTTTTTGTCGGGCAAACAAGCACAAATAGACACAACTCAGTGTGTCCAGGTTTCCAGTGGTTTGTCCATCAAATAGAGTCCCTGACAGGGGGCGAAAACTAACTTTACACTTAGACAATATTTGCCAGGTTTCATTATGACGCATCATCCAGTATCCCAACAAACTCGATTCATTATAGGAGGAGAATAGAAAGAGAGAGTGTGAAGGGTGAGGGGGTGAATAAGCCATTTGTTCATCCCTCTGCTGTCCTCCCTGGCCTTGCCTGGTGCTTGGTGCCTGGCGTCCAGGGTCATTTCCTTTCATAACCACCACTGCCATCCTTGCATTAGCATTTTTGCTGCTGTGGGGGCAAGACTCCAGTGAACGGTTGTGTGTGTACGCTCGCTTTCTCGTCCACTACGGCCCGAATTATGCAGGGACTTGGGAAGACAGAGAGAGGGGATCAGGGGCGAGACATCGACCTGACATCGCTGAGATCCACCATGCCAGCCAGCGGCCCTTTGCAGGTTAGTGCAACTCCAAAAAAGGGGGGGGAAATTGCACGAAACAGCAGGAAACCGGACCAGAGTCTTTGACATAGAGAGAGAGACTCAAGGAAAGAAAACTGCATTGTTCTGTCTGTTTAACCTCTTCTACTCTTTTCTCCTCCTTTCCTTTTACTGTTTCATCACTTTTTCTGGTTTATCTGTGGCCCTGAATTTGCCACAGAGCTGTGGTATGTCTCGCTTACATGAGGTCCCAGGATCAGAGGGCTTCTGTTTGGCTGGTCTTTGAGTCGGTACTCTATTCCGAGACTAAGTTACGATTGCAACATCCATCAAATATCAATTAGGGTCTGGGTGCAAAGGCTAATAAAGTCTCCTAATGGAGTAACAGGTCAACAGAACAGGTACTCACTAATGCCAAGAAAGAGGGGTCAAGGTAGGGTTAGGGACCTTAGATTAGTATTTTAAGAAGCTTTTTTTCCTGGTTTTGATCAGATATTTCTCTTCATAACTGGGTTTCATTCTTCTATCTCATCATTCATAACACTCCTCTTTACCAACACCACAGACCTCCTTCAACAAGAACACAGACCGCACACACGGTCTCTGGTGTCTGTTAGGATTCTCCCCCTGTATCAGTGTCAGGGCCAGCAGTGTCCCTGCCCGTCAAACCAGGAGGACTATCAGTTACCAGTATATTTAGCTACACAGTCTCCAGTGAATAAAGTGCCCAAAATGCACAACTGTGACTGAAAGATGTGAGAGCGTGGGTGTTTTTGTGGCGTGTGGTTGAAATACTAACTACACTTTCTTCAGTGGAGTTCCCATTTAAATTTATCTGTTTGATGAGATTTAGATGAGTGTCCTAAATCTTCATTGTGGGATTATGAGACACTTTTTGAGACTGTTCAGTCATATGTGAAATTAGATTAAATTACTGTAAATTGAAGTAAATCAAATCTTTGAGTCATTTTCAGGATTTTTTCACAGACTGTAAGAAGTGGACTTGACATAACAGATTACTCTTTTCAGCTTCAAGTTCAACATCACTGCCTCGCCATCTTGGTTGTCTGAACTTTTTTCATTTAGATCCTTAATTTACAATCTGCAGGACATAGCTTATACTTCAAAATAAAAGTCTCCCCATGCAGAAAAACATCAAAATAGAAGCATGACAAACAATCATTTATATGACAATGTCCTTTCCAAATCCATTTACAGACTGTGATGTTTCATTGTCAGAAATGTCAGAATAACATCATAACTGCAATATGTTATGGCCATGATAACCCTGAGGTAATGGAGTTTATCAGTCAGTTAAATGTAGCTATGACCCAAAGCACATATTACACTGTCAACTATTTTAATCTGAATGGGATCATAATTTACAAAGGTGTTAAAGCTACTGTAAGGTGGTCTTTTGGTGGTAATGAAATAGACCAAAATGGATGCTAATGCTTCTGTATAACTCAAAAAAGCAACAAAAATATGTGGCAACAAGATTTAATCTTTCAAAAACCTGATTGAGGCCTGAAACACCTGTAACTGCTGCCAGGAGGTAGGTATCACAGACAGAAGCACCAAGAAACAGTCTTTGTTTGCATTTTACAAGGCAACATTTGACCATAAATATGCAAGAGACTTTTGACAGAAAAAAAAACGTCTTTAGGACATAATCAGCAAAGATATTACCTTGTCTACAGGGGGCACCAAAACTGCATAATCTAAAAGTTTCTCACAGGAGCTTTAAGAGGACTTAAATCTTAAATCTGAGGTGATTAAATAACTGGTGACCGTTTACTGACATACCACATAAACTGAGGACTTCCTTCATTTTCTCACAAAAAGACCAAAAACTTTTTGAGAAACATTTATTGCAACAATTGCAGCAGCAATAACATTTTTATTTATAAGGCACATTTCATTACGGGTAAGCTCAGTGTGCTTTAGATTGAGAATAAAAACAAGACGAAAAATATACAGTTAAAATTTATAAACCATACATCCACCAAACACATTGCAGAAAATAAATCCAAAAAGCTAGAAAAGGAATGTTGCACCAAGTGGAAATATATATGAACTTAAAAGGAGTGGGCCGAGGACTAATCCTTGTGGAACGCCATTGGTAACTTGAGATTTAAAGAGGCTCAGATTCAGATTTGGTGTTGCCTGAGGGGGTAAATAACTGGCTTACTCCATCCAAGATTGTTGTTTTCTGACAGTATATGTCATATTTACTGTATGTTGAAAGATAACTGTTGAATCGATCTTAAAGAATAGCAAAAATAAATCAAACTAACTTGTGTCGCCATCTCTGTCGCCTGCCTCTCCTTTTTGTTCATCTTGGGTCCAACATAAGTGTCCTTGTTTCCATAGGTTTGGGTCACACACAGGAGTGAGGCTTACATTTAAAGATTTTGTAGGGGGCGCTATGGAGCCATTTTTAGTTGGATCTCCAATTTGACATTGGAGACCTTTTTTCATCTTGGGGTCCAACATCAAAAAGAGATAAAATGACAAGAAGCTCTTTTCTCTCATTGGTTTTTATACAATCAATCTGTTTTTAGCAATCAGTGCAGTCAGCCCCTGCAGTGTCTTGTACATTTTTATAGGATCAGAAATAACTTCTTTTTTTTCCAGCTTTTGAGCCACCTCTTTATTTAAAACTTATGAATGCAGGTTTTGTTCAAGTTTACTGAAGTTGGTTTACACCGTGTACTAAACACACACACGCCAATATATGTTTTTATTGGCTGCTGGCAGGGCTAGAGGTCTACAGTAGCACCCTTAATCACAGATAAACTGAGAATGTATATAGCAACACTTGGCGACCATCAGCTGCTGCAGTTACTTATATCATGTAGCTTTAAATCCAAATGTTTACAGTCACAGATGCCAAGACCTAACCACAACTATTCACGTCAACCCTGGTGGTTTCATCATATGCCGACAGAAGTGAGGAGAGAAATGAGGAAGGAGGAAATGAGTGTACATACAGTGTGCATGTGTGTCTGTCAGAAATCACTCCCTCAGCATGATACATATCCTGTATGTCAGTACCAGCTCACGTTAGTATGTGCATACGATGGTGGATACTATTACGTTTCATTATGCATCTCAAATATCTTTGGCATGTTGTTTTAACACACAAATGAATAACTATTGCTCCTGTAATTAGAGTTGAAGGTGCAGTGGGTCTTGCAGTATAATGAAGGGCTATGTAATAGATATACATCTGAGGAATGCCAGTTATGTTTGATATGGTTATCCATGATCAGTAATGCATAACCTTTGTTGATAGAAATGGGTCATATCCTTATATGAAAGACCTATGGGGGAATGCAGCAAGTCTTTGAGCTCTTTTGGACCATATCTGTTTCTTTTTTTCATAGCAGGAACAATCAGACTGTCAACAAGAATACATGCACAAAACTCCTAAAACCTTACCAAAACTTTCCGGATTAGCATCGTCACACAGGGGGAATTTCTAACCCACAGTGGTTTTCCTGCTAGCTTCCTATAATATTTCTGCATTTAGTTGAGGCATGCTGACATGAGGGCACAGCAGGAAAACATACTGCAAGCATGCACATGCAGTTAATCATGTTGATATCCACACTGTGTAATGCCAGTTGCTTTGTTGGCATCAGGTTAGGTCAAATTACACTTTAGCATTCTTTTGCACATGTTTGATATCATGTCTTGACTTCTAGGACTGGCACCCCATCATCGAACAAGGGTGAGGTCACATTGTGTGCAACATGTATGAAGAAGCAAGCTTAGCAGCAAAGCACCTGAACTTGTCTTGTAAAAAACTTCCTCAGCAGTTGTCTGGCTTTTTTGTGTTTGGAAATGGAAATTTTGATATCAAACTTTAAGCATTCAAAAATATGAAACAGAAGTCCAGAAGAGGTGACATTATGCTGATATTGTTTAAAGAAGTGTAAAATGAATGTTCAGTGACAACCATGACTGAATATTTTGTAAAAGACATTTGCTTCAATAACAGAAAAAAGCTGCAGGAAATCCTGACATTTCATGGCAAACAAGTCTGAGCTACTCAACAACCCATTTAAACTCTTTATGAAGTTTGGGCCATGAGTCATTTGTAAATTTTGAGTGTGTTTGAAGCTTTTTTCAAAAAGATATTAAAGATATTAGTTCAACTTGGGTCATATTACCTCCAAAAAACAGCTTTTTGTCCTTAAGTCCTGACCTGAATCCACCTTGGCCTCATCATTATCCCAGTCAGACTGCTCAGATGCTGCTAACCATCTTAAGTGTCATGTGTCAAACTGGCCTGTGCTGGTTCTGGTCCAGACACCCTGAGTACATTTAATATAAATCAAAAAATGATTCAGGAAATGACTCAGGAAAGTATGTTTTATGAAACTGCTAAAATGCACTTGAGCTGGATCTTTAAATTCAGTCTGATACTTATGGATTTGCACTTTATGGGTTTTAACTTCAAATGTGTTCCTTCATTTCTGCATTCGTGTCATCCTCTCAACATCTGGACCTAATGCTCTCTTATTAGTTTCAAATGGAGTCCAGAAGAGAGCGTGTCAATTGCTATGATTGGATTTATGATGTTTTCACGCAGCATCTGTTTGGAGCTGCCATGATGAATCTATTTCTATGGTGTGAAGTCTTTACACCTCTAAGTCACTCTCTAAGTTTGGAGCACGACAGCGGGGCGTGAAGCGCTGTCACAGGACTCAGAGGAGTCACACACACTTTCTAAGCATGGACGTCATATTTCAAAGACGGCGTGGTCGCTCTCTGAGGAAAAGGGGCGAGTCTTTTCGATGATTAGTGTCCTTTATTTATCAGTAAAATGAAACAGCTTCTAAGAAGATGCTAAATCCTGCATTAGTAAGCTTTAAAGAAGAGATTATTTTGGTGTTGGTCAGTTGAGTAAATTACACATCCAGCCAGTAGAACCAAAGCCATGGTTCTGATGGAAAACTTAGCTTCGATGAACTTTTGAACAAAACTGAGCTTTTCTAGATTCAGATCAAGTCCTCTCCAACAGTGTTGTTTTCGTCAACGCTCCTTTTTTTTTTCACGACGAAGACGTGACATTGACGAGCTAAACATTAGTCTTAGATGACTAAAATGTGACGAGACGAATGTGCGTTAACGTTGACGAAATGAGACTAGATGAAACCGTTAGTGGTTGACGACGAACAGAGTTGCAAAATTCATGAGCATTTTGTCAGTCAAACGCTAAACATATATTCTGCAGTGTTGTTTTCGTTGACGATGACATTGACCAAATATTTTCATCAATGTCATCGTCAACGAAAACAACACTGCTCCAAGATCCTGTTTTGGCAGATTTCTGTTTGACCCAAGGCCACTTACTGTTCAACTGTTAAACTAAGTGAAGGCAGGTTTAAGACCAGTATAAATCATATAAGAAGCCATATGAACCTGATTTTGGAGGTACCTAGCCTTGCTGCTTCTGCTATCTGCTATCTTATTGGTTAAAGCACAGTGATTTTTAACCAAAACAAAAACAGTTTGTCTTAACTATTTTGGATAATTGTGGTTGATTTTACTCACATTTTAGTCTTTCTGTCTTGTTTTATCACAGCCGTGATAACGTTTTTTGGTCAAAACTTGCTCAAACTGTTTTATGATAGTTGTCAAAAATGTTTATAGTGATTGTGAAAATTTCACTGTAAAGAGAGAATATTTTTAGTATGTTGTGTGTGTAACGTATACTTCCTCATGTTATAGAAAAACTTGAAGGCAGTGCTTTCTTTCAAAGACTGTAAATAGACTTCTTACAGGTGAGAAATCTTCCAATGACAGAGTTGTCACCACAGTTTTTGGTTTCTGTTACCATACCATTTATGTTAGAATAAATGGGTCTTTGAATGCTTATCATTATTTTCAAAGATTCATCAAGGTGGTGGAAATCGTCCTCAGAGATTTTTGCCCATGTTAACATAAGAGCATTAAACAAGTCCTGCAGATTTGTCAGCTGTACGCACACTACATCCAAAAGATGCTCTGTTGGATTGAAGTCTGTGACTATGGAGTCCAGTGAAGTACAGTGAACTCATTGTCATGTTGAGATGATTTGAACTTTGTGACATGGTGGGAGTAACCTTTAGAAGATGGGTACTATGTGGTCATAAAGGGATGGACATGGTCAGCAAAAACACCCAGGTAGGCTGGAACGTTTAAATGATATTAACTTGGTACTTTAGGGACCCCAAGTGTCCCCCACACCATTACACCACCAGCAGCAGCCTGAACCGCTGATACAAGGCAGGATGGATCAATGCTCTCATGTCAGTTATACCAAATTCTGGCCCCACCACCTGATTATTGCAACACAAATTAAGACTCAACATACTGGGACATGTTTTTCCAATCTATTAATGTCCAATATTGGTTAACCAATTTTGGTTAATCTCTATGTAGTGTAGCCTCAGTTTCCTGATTTTAGCTGATACCCAATGAGGCTTTTGCAGCCAATCAAGGGTCAATGTGCTGTATGTTCAGAGATACTCCTCTGCATATCCTGTATGTAAGTAGGGGTTATTTAAGTCACTCTTCCCTTTTTATCTGCTTGAATCAGTCCGGATTTTCTCTCCTGACCTCTGCCATCAGTAAGGCATTTCCTCCCAGAGAACTTTTTTTTTGGACTCATTGTCTATAAACCCTAGAGACAAATGTGTGTGAAAATCCCAGTAGATCAGCAGTTTTTGACATACTCAGACCAGACCATCTGGCACCCACAACCATGCCATGTTCAAAGTCACTTAAATCCCCCCGTTCTGATGCTGGGATTGAACTTCAGCTGGTCATCTTGATCATGTCCATGCGCCCTAAATGCTTTTAGTTGCTGTCATGTGATTGGCTGAAAGATACTTCTTAGTCAAACAGGTGTACTGCATGCATTACTTAAAACACTGAGAACGTACATGTTGTTGATTGATGAACCCTCGTTCAAAACCAACTGCCTCCAGTGGATTGTAAGCTTGCCCTGATGTGCCAAAGTGACACTTGACCTTAGCAGTTCAAAAACGAAACACCAGTTCATGAATCAGTGATGTGGCGTGAGGCAAAATTTGAAAATTGAAATCACAGCGACCCTCCAAGCATGACAGTTATATTTCAAAGAAGTGCAAAGTTGTTTACTGCGTGTGAACAAGCCTGAACCGGCCATCAAGCGTCTTTGGAAGACGCATAGAGGGCAGGGTCACTTTAGGGCCAGTCTGACATGTCCCTCACGCCTATAGAAATAATAGTTGTATTAATAGATGATGAAAGCAGTGGGGTCTACTTGTAAATTGTTCTGTCATGTGTTTTTATTTCTGTTTTTTCCTAAAGAGATAACCACAGTGCTTCATCTGTTTTTGTGTTTAGTCCTTTATGACCCTCAATGACCACCGTCCCTCTCATCTCCTTCCCACTTGTCTCACCTCCCAGAATACACCACTGCCTCTCTTTGACGTTATGTGTGTATTTGTGTGTGTTTGTAACCTCCTCTTGGCCCCCACATGGCAAATGCCACATTCTGAGAGTAGGTGTGAAGTACGAGAAAGTGTGTGTCTCTGTGTGTGTGTGTGTGTGTGTGTGTTTAAAATTGTGTTTCTGAGAACTTTCATTGGAGCTCCAACTAAACCTCATCTTTAAATGGCTGCTGTGTTGTGTAATACATGTAATGTCATATTTGTTTTGCATATTAACACCATGGTACTTAGTATAGCCCTTTTAACCAGATACGAAAGTCATACATATGTCTTTAAGCTGAATTCCCTCTGTTGCCATGGTGATGGATCTGTTGACAGTCAAACTCAATTGGTAACCTGATGTCGTACTGCCCCTGGGACTTGATGTGCCTGTTGTCTTGTAGTCTGACAGAGTATTAACAACTCACATTACATTTGCTAGCTTCCGCTCGAGCTTTCCACCATGTGAAGACACAGTGTAGAAGTGTTGGAATAACCAGAAAATGCCAAAGAGTGGTTTAAAAGATAAAATATATGGATAAGAAATGAAGACCAAGCTCAAAATTGCTTACAATTCATCTATGCATTTGGTTTGATTTTTATTATGTTGATGTCTGTATATGCCACAAAAACAGGAGTGTGTCCTGGCATTTTCAAGTGGGGGGACCTATCTGAAGCACTGACATAGACAGGGGTGGCCACTAACATTCAGTACTTAAACACATAGACATGCTGTAATAATAGCATTTACACTCTCTGTCTTCTCAATCTACTTTAACAATTACCATAAAAGTATAGCAGAGCTTTTCTTAGTTCCAAACTTATGAGAGAGGGAGCTTTACAGAGGGGCCTGATCTTTTAGGGACTTGGACACTGTTGACTTTTGATTTTTCAAAAAGTCTTGCTTCCAACAAGGCAAATAGCCAATCATAGTTTAGGATTTCAGGCTGGCACCTGGGGTGGCCAATCGGTTTTTGAGGGGAGAGGGGCGGTGCCACCTCAAAACACTTCCGTGAGTACGACCCTGCACAAAAATGCAAACCGTCTTACAGTAACAGCAGAAGACTGGTGTGCTGATTTTATCCTTATACAGGCTTCATATTAGTGTCAGAGTCGTGTTAGTTTGGCAGAATTATTTGTGTTTGGGAGCTTAGCAATAAGAGAGTCATTGCCAGTCTGCCTGCAAAACATTTTGTAAACTATTGGCAGAGGTTGAAGCGGTTCCCTCAAGAATAGATAATTGATGCAGAGGATCAATCAATATGGAAGACATAAGTACTCTCAGATTTATCCTGCCAATCAGGGCTTCTAACCTTTAACCTCTGTTCTTAAGTGCTTCTCCATCATTGGGGCCAAGTGTGAACAGCCCCTGTGTGAGACCAAGTGTGGGTGTTTTCACATCTAATAATTTTTTGGAAAATTAACTTTGACTTTAATGCTTGAAATCTAATCTGTTGTTTCAGCCTTTTAACATCTCCTGGCAAACAATGAAAGGCTTAACTTTTTCCACAATCTGCAAATAGGTGGGGCTGAACACCCAATATAACACGCCCAATGACAGACTTTGACTCCTGCTGGCTATCCTCTTAAATCATGTTTGTTTTTACTCCTGCGGTCTTCTGCAGAATTAGAAACATATGAATCTGTTAACATCTGTATTTTATAATCAGCGACTTAACAAACGTAATAGCCTCAGAACATGACGAATCTGCCAAGTACAAGGAATTCAGATGTGTTCCTGGGACACTGTCAGTTGTTCATCGCTTAAAACTAGGGATGCAGGATATGGATGTTCTTGAGCCAATGTCAATAACTGATGATAACCTGCTCTCATTTTTTAAAAATTGTTGTGTCATCAAATTTGCAGTTCATGCACATTGTGGTATGGGAAAGGCTAAAAGAATATATTTAGATATCAACTATTAATAAATTGATTTGTAGAGTTTTAAAACTTACCCTGCTATACTGGTATATATAACTGCAAATCATCAGCATAGCAAGAAAATCAAACCACAACAAATTGCAATATTCAACACAGTGGTGCAGGTACAGTGAAAACAACAGCAGATCAAAGACAGACCCCTGTGGGATCCCATGCCTAACGGCACAAGGCTCTGAGGAAGAACCAGCTGCAGCTGAAGACACTGCTCTAAATTTTCCATTGGCTAGTGAAACTCTTTATCCTCTACCAAGGAAAAAGTTTGCTCATTGATTGCCATACATTTGGAAATTTTCTCATGACCTGCTTCAGCTTTGGTTGTCTCTGAAAATCTCTCTGCAGTTCTGAACCCGCACTACGTTTTAGCACTAATGCTATCTTTAGCTACTGCTGCTCTGTATTTCTTCAGTACATTATGTTGCAATGACAGCTTGTCTAGTGATGAATTAGAATCATTAGATGAATAGATGAAACAGAAAGATGAATTCATTGTGTTAAAACTGAAGACCATTTCCTGCTTTCCTATAAGTTCTGTAGCAGTCAGGGAGTGTTCATTTTTTGGTGTTAGGCAATTGTGCATGTGCAGTTGTCATGCCCTTTGGTAAAGCTTAAGTGTCTCCAAAAAATAGTGAAAACAAAATTACCGGCCAGGATACATGACTGTCATTTGGCAGTTGTTTTGGATGATGGACTGCTCTGTTTGAAATGTGTCTGGGATGCATTTGTCGAACACAGCGTGATAAAAATGTGGGGCGAGAGATTTTTTTTTTAGACCACATTATGAGGACTTGACTTTATGGAGGCACTCTAAATCACAAAAGTTTTCAGTGATTTATTTGGCTACGCTGCAAGTTTGTTTGAAAGAGCTCATATTATAATTTGAATCCAGCACACATAGTTTGCTTATTCTGCCCTGATTCGTTTTTCTTTTTTGTGCTTTTTGGGAGCTCAGATGGACCACCTTACTGCATTGGTAATAAGTAAATGAACACAGCTGTTATTGGTTGTTTTTATTGGACAACACTGTAACACTGAAATAACTAACAATGAAACAATAACAATATGTCATTGGATGAAAATTTATTAGGCCTGTTTTGTTGCAAGTTATTTTTGAAAAGTTTCAGTGAAAGGATGACTTAAGACTTAAAACAAAACAAGTCTTTATGCTTTTATTCTGAAAAGTTTAACTTGTCACTTCCCCCCATCATCTAACAACTTTGTAAATGTCTGATGTAAAGGAATAAGGGGGGAAATGTGGCTTTTTTTTCTTTCTTTGTGTCAAGAAACAGGAAAATAAATTGATCATGTGTTTTTTGGTTCAAAATACAAAATGAAAAGGACCAAAGACTAAAAATGGGCCCATGGTGCTTGAATTTAGATTTATTTGATTTAGATTGTAAAATGGTATTGAAACAAAAAACAATAAAAACAAAACAAAAAAAAAAAAAAAACAGTCGTTCAGTAGACGGATGACGAATAAAAAACAAATGACCACATGATACCCTGCCCTTGGTTCTCGAACATATCTTAAATTCAATGCTGGTATTTGGAGACTTACAATCCAGGTTTTGTCTTTCCAAAGGTTTTCGTTTCTTTCTTTCCTCACCCACACTTCTTTTCCATTTCAATCTCTGCTCTGTAAAACTTTTGCCTCCCTTTCTTCCCATCCTCCCTCTTTTATCTTCTTTACCCCATCCTCCCCCCTTTGTCTCTCTTTTCCTCTCCTTCTCTTGTCAAAGAAATCTTTGTTTTCTTTTCATTTTGTGCAGGAAATGGCAACTGACTGGGTTTGAATCTGAAAACAGCTTCACAGGAAAGGAGTTCAGTTTTCTGCACAAGTGTGTTTGACTGAAAAATGGAGAAAAAAATGTTTAGAGAGCGGCTGTGTGCGAGGAAAAAGCCAAGATAAATGATTCCAGACATAACATTAGATCCTAGCAGATAAAAACAATTAGATTATCACACACTTGGACTGGTCTGTCTGCCTCCTGCACTACAAATAGAAAGCACAGATCCTCATTACGGACACAAATCTGTTTATTCATTCCTTGTCAAATCGTTAGTCCAAAATCAGGGAGTACTTAATGAAGACATACAATACATTTGAATAAAAACCTTATGCTGCCATGAACATATAAAAAATAATCACCCAGTGAAGCTTTAAATGTCGTGTCACTCTTTTGTTCCTCATCCACTTGCTCCAGTTGGATCTGCCAAAAAGGAACAGGAAACCTACTCTGTGCGAGGGCCCTCCTGCTGGGAATCCATAACTCAGACACACACACACACACACACACACACACACACATATGCACATAAATCAGAGAAGCACACCAGACTTATACTTCCAAGTCCACTTTTCGTCAATCTTTTTGCAGACTTAAACACACCCTCCTCATTGAAAACACATGTCACCGTTACATCGGTTTTCTAGGAATTCACGGAGATTTATTGTTTAAAAATTGTGAATAGTTATCAAATGCACATGTAATACTGCAGTAAGTGGAGGCGCTCTATGCTATGTTTCTACTTCCAGCGTTTTGGGTCACAGCCAAACACATATTAAGACATAGACCCACACATGTGGCTACACATCTGTGGAAAAGCACCCTCATTAAATAGACATAAACATGTACAGTGCTATAAATTAATATGACGCCTTAGAGAGTGTGTGTAGCAGACTTACCCTAGGGGTTAAATGGATGTAAAAATAATAGATCTAATTTGTAGAAAGAGCAAATTCATTTATTCTAAGACTTTCTGAGAGGCACCAGAACACGGAGGGAAAAGAGTCTGAATTAATTAAGAAGAAGAAATGAAAACTGGTTTCAAATGGAGACCCCCCAAACTGAATCTGACCTCTCGTATTTGTTGATAAAATGTGTTGCCATGCAGCAGGCTGCCGGCCAGGATAAAGTGTGCATATTTATGTGTGTATACGTCAGTTTCAGGGGTGATCTCAAGGTAAACACAGGCCTCTCTATATCTGTGTTTTCCCTCGCTCCAGCACAAGTGTTAGGTCAGTGAGCGAGACAGTGTGTGTGAGAGGGAGAAATCCTGAATGTTTATGTTTCTTGTCAGTCTCGTATGTGGGTGTACGGGCGCTTGTTTGTATTAACTGTCCGTTTGACACGTACAGTATCTGTGGCTTGTATGGCTGCTAGCATGTGTGTAGCTGTATGCCCTCTGCATGTGAACGGGTCAACAGTAGATCCACAATGAGATAAAAATAGGAGGCCTTGAAGATAAAGTATTAAACAATTTTGTTTTAGCTTCCTGTGTTGGATGTGTAACTAACTTAAAAAGTATTAATATGTTGGATTGGGTTCGAAGCTTGCTTATGCTGCCCCCTAATGGCCAAGCAACCAATCACTGTAATTGCCTCAGACAATTACAGCAAGTCATTGTAATCAAATAATGTCGCAGCATGAGGTCATATGTGATGTGTTTACCGGGAATGAGGGAGCTTAGGGGGTGATGGAGGAAAGAAGCCGAGTGGGAGGTGGGTGAGGTCCTGTCTTACATCATCGAGACTGCGACGCTAATGTTCCCCAGCGCCTGCAAATGCTCATGGGACTATTGTCAAGTGATTTCAGTGCCATGAGATCACACTTAAAGTGAAACAAAGGCACTCTGTTATGATTGTGTCCAGTCTGAAAAGATACAGATAGGGTACTTAGGGAAATAAACACTCTTTTTTATGCATATATCCATTTATATCTTTGGAAAATTAGTTCTTATTCTTTTCCTGACTACTATAAAAAATCTTTCACATTTTCCATATAACTGTGATTATAGTGCAGGACTTGTGTTTTTAAAATCCAAACTCTGGGCTAAAGAACAAAAACAGTACTAAAATTCCCCAGTAGCTATTTTTTGAATGCTACTTTAATTTCAAAGAAACTTCATCATGCCCAAGCTATACACCAGGTTGTATTTTAAAACTTTCCCATGACCGGACACATGACATGCTTGACAGCATTTTTCTGTCTATATAAGCCCGCTCTGTTCAAACATATACATCATGTTTAAAAGTCTCTAAGGACCTTGATAGATGTCCTCACTCAGTGTTAGCCACATGAGGTTATCTATGATATTTGTGTGTGTGTGTGTGTGTGTGTGTGTGTGTGTGTGTGTGTGTGTGTGTGTGTGTGTGTGTGTGTGTGTGTGTGTGTGTGTGTGTGTGTGTGTGTGTGTGTGTGTGTGTGTGTATAGGGGGAGGGGGTATGTTTCTCATTGAGTAATATCCTTTTACCCTTTTGACCTCATTGGTGAAAATAAACAGCAGTAACTTCTGTAGGCTAAACGGTCATTCATCTCTTTTTTTTCAGTGCAGCTCAGACTTTGACTGAGCAGCATGCGACAATAAAACAGACTAAAGGGGAAAGAAGTAGAAAAAATGCCTTTTAAAAACATTGATATAAAAAAGGGAGAAAAAGTTAATCACAGCCAAACCTGAATTTTTTATCATCATCATTTTTTTCATGGCTGCTTGCATGGTGGTTGATTGATCGTGCCACTGTTTTGTCTCAACTGGACTACTCTTTGATGTATTGCCATAACATTTTGTATAGCCAGTCATGGTCCCCAGAGGACAAGTCTTTTCCTCAGCACTTTTCCCATTATCCTTTGACCCAGCATTGCTTGTGAGTTGATAAATGGTTCTGAGACATATGTTACTATGTAGATGGCTCAGAAATATGGGCAGATATTCATTGTTCTCCCAGGAAACACTTTGAAAACTTCAATTCCTTTAACTTTTCTAGTTGCTCCATTAAAAATTCAACATTGCCAAACTAAAAATGTACATATCCATCAACCTCTGCAACACTCAACTCAACTCAACTCAACTTTATTTGTTAAGCACTTTAAAACAACCACAGCTGAACAAAGTGCTGTACATAACTAGACAAAACAACAAGATAAAAAACAATAAAAAAAAACAATTAAAACAATGGATAAAATAAAAGCAGAATTAAAAGTAAAATATAGTTTCAATGTTTTTAAAAACTAATTTAAAAACATAGAAACAAATAACTAAAAACAAACCATAAAACACTAAAACAGGAGCCGAGTCTCATACAGGGTTAAAAGCCAATGAATAAAAATGGGTTTTAAGATGACTTTTAAAAATGGACACTCAAAGGTAAGTTCAGTGTATAGGCATACAATAACACTGACAGTATGCTAGCTCTTCTTGAACATGTTGTTTCACGAAGCCAGTGTTTCGTAAATGGCAGATAAGGCAAACAAACTGACAGCAACAACACTAACAAACTTTTAATCATGATTTTAAAGCTTAAAACCAATATGAGGGGGAAACTGTCGTGTAGCTGTTTTTTTCTTCTAATTTCATTCAAAATATTATCTACAAATGATACATTTGAGGGTCCAAAGGCAGCAGGACGAGAGTTTTGTAAGGAAAAAATAACTACTTTGCATGTAGAGAGCAAGACAAGCACAGGGGTTGCCAAAAGTGAAAGTTCCTAACAGGAGCTTTAATTACTCAAAGTACAAAACTATAACCAAATGCATTTCATTCAAAAGTGATATCGAGCACTTTTGCTTTATCTCTTTTAGATAAAGTCTGATGAATTAATTAATTGATTGAATAAGGTTGAGCATCCACTCAATGATTGTGCAGTCGTGGCACTGCATGGTGAATTCTGTCTTTGTGGAAAACTACCATCACGAGGGTTAAACACTTTAATTTCCAGCAGTGGTAAAACATCAGAGTCTTGTGGTTATCTGAAATTGCATGTGTGGCCGTGTCAGTAGCTTTGATCAGAGACGCCTCAGATCTGTGTTGATTATTACCACATTGCCAGAGGAATACAAACATTGTATCTATGGAGCTCCGCTGTTTTCTCCAGCTTCTTTGGGCAAACATGAGTTAACGCAAGTTATAAAATCTTTAGAGGAAGCTCTTAAATGTGGTTATATAATGCTAAGCAGAATTTCACTAAGACTTTTATTACTGTAGTAAATTACTTTACTTCTTTGTGGACACAAGCTTCTGATTTGCAGTTGGTGTGTCATATTTATTCTGTTTGTAAAATGAGGTAATAGATTTGCTCTCACAGCATCTGAGAAGCTGTGTGTGCAGAGCAAGTTTACTGAGCAAAGTGCAGAGTTGCATCATCGGGCCAACAAATATGCAACGAAGCATGTGAGTAAATGTGTGTTCCTGCATATTACATCTTTATGTGTACATACCACGCTCCTGCAATGAGTTTCTCAATGCAATCTCTCAGATACTGTACACACACACACACTTCTCCAGGTATTTTCTATGTGAACCTTTGACCTACTTCTTGTCATACACGCACTCTCTGCTTGTAGACCTGCTTAAATACATGACACAAAAGACGCACTGTCTAATTGCTTTGGTGTTCCACATGATCAAATAAACGCCGGCTTCACCGTTTTCTGTCACACATTTATTAACTTGTTTCATGTTAGTTGGGCACACACACAACATCAAAGTCATAACCGGGTTCAGGTGTGTGTTGTGACCTTGCTGCATGGTTGCACATATCTGACTGGTTCAGCAGGTGCAGGTGACAGTTTGTGTGACAAGGTTCATGCTGCACTTGTTAAAATGTTGGACTTCAGTACATTTCTACTCAGTAAATAAGCGTAGGAAAGCAATGGTAGTTAAAATTTGCCACACACAATGCTGCTGTTATTTAGGTTTTTATGCACCAACATGAAGCAGTTTAAGCAGATTAAGCTTTGTGGATTCAGTGTTCTTCCAGTCGTTCATTCACATCCATGTGTGATATGTCTTTACTTGTTGTTAGTGATGATGAGTGATGCAAATTCAAGAAGGCCTGGATTTATTTCTTCTATGCTTACACTGATAGTTGTGATGGACACGGCAGTTCTTTTAGATGTACTGAATCACTGAAACCAGTTCACCAAAAAGATTCGTTCAAAAGATTTGTTCATTCATTCGACTCAACTTCCTAAAGTGATGCACAGCTAAATGGTTCAGGATTCAGTTCAGATTATAGCTTCTGAGACTGGGAGATGAGAGTGTTGTGGCTGTGTTGCTTTGACAAACAGGTTTGTAAAAATGAACTTGTTTATAAATCATGGGGTTTTAAATGTACCATCCATAGACTGTATATAGAATGGACAGCGTCTGCCTCCTTGCTGGGCGTCATCACAGCGACTCTCGGTGATTCTCCTGCCGAATGCGCACATCGCTTTTGGCTTTAAATCCATATAAAGACGGGAGGCGGAACTAAGTTGTCTATAGTACATACAGTCTAAGGTACCGTCCAATGGTACGCTATTTGTCTACTTGGTGAATTGGGTTCAGTGAGTGATTCTTTAATGTTTTCCCCACCGTACACCCAGTGAAGAATTCACACTGAACATGCACCGTTCCCTCGCAAATAGCCGCAATGATAGGATCAGTCACGCATTTCTCAAACTGTGGGTTTTATACACTACTTGTTACGTGCTGTGTCCAACTAAATCTGTCTGAACAATGGCCATGAAAGTGTATTTCTCAGACAAAAATGATTCCAGAGCAGTGGCGGTTCTAGACCAAATTACTCCCCGGGCGAGCACCTCTCCAAGTGCGTTCCCCCCCCCCCCCCCCCCCCCCCCCCCCCACCCCACACACACACACACACACACACACACAAAAAGAGATAGAATTTTGATAGTTTTGTATTACTATGTAGTATTATTATTATTATAACAACAAAAATAATATATTTCTCAATTGCAGAAATCCTTCAATAGAAAAAAACACAATCCTGAGGGCCATTTTGAGAAGGGCCCCCAGATCCTGAGGTTTTCTGATGTGTTAAGGTTTACAAAAAAGCTGCTATCTCGGCCTCTGTAGTAGATAGAAACAAAATTCATAAAGTATTTGAGAGCTTATACTTGTGGCTTTCAAGAAAGCTCTCTTTTAGTTTTGCGAACCTTCATCACATTTTTGAAAACCTTGAACAAACAAACTTAAATGAAATAAAGTGGCTGTGTAAATAAAAGTAAAGGCTCTGCACTGGAGAATGACAAATAATTTGCTTTCTGTAAAACAAGTGGCAGTCATGATAAAGTGTCCATTCAATACAAATGTAAATATAGAAAACAAGGTGTTAAAGGGTATACAGCTGCCCCAGTATAGTGCCAGTACAAAAGCAGAACTAAAAACTAAAAAATGAATAAATAAATACGTGGCTGACAGTGTGTTCATCTCTGTTCTCACCCAAAGTCATGCAACACTCAGAGAAAACGCTGATAGTGTGAGCCAAAGCACTCCATATGAAGAGGTTGTTCACACTGCTGGATGTTTCTCCTCTGAAGCTGCTCTCCTCTCTGTCTCCGTCATTGTTTACGTCACTCATGAAGCTCATCAAGCACATAGCAAGATCCGAGCATGAACCCGAGCGCTTTATTCGCCTATCAAAGGCAGACGGGTACGGTGATTTCATTCACCGCGACTCCAGAAATGATTAAAAAACTACAAAATGACGTATCCGCGCTCCCGCTGATATGCTGACATGCGTACACAGAGCAGAGCTGTCCCCCTGCGACTCTCTCCCCGCCTCGTCTCCTACAGTCTGTCAGCCTCTGTGCAGCACCTTCGGAGCAAGCAGGGGCGCCTACAGCAGCAGGGGGGGCGCCAATTTGACAACAAGAGTTAATACAAAACCGCTTTGCGGTTAAGATTTATTACTATTATCTTTTATTTTATATTTTTGGAAGTGCTCGTGCCGCCCCCCATGAGTCATGACACAAATGCCGCCCCGGGCGGCTGCCCTGTTCGCCCGTGCCTAGAACCGCTACTGTTCCAGAGAGTGTAGTTCACTGTGTGGTTCGCTCACGAAGTGATTCACCATCAGTGTGTGCAGTCCCTCGCTCGCAGGCTGCTCACCCGGCAATGCTGTTTGCTATGGCAGTTGCACTGCTGACAGCTGACAGCTTAACTAAAGTGAGAAACGAACAAATTACTTGACGAAGTGATTAGGTTCAGTACGTTCACTTAAAAGATTCGGTTCTTTTGAACGAATCATTCGCAAACGACACATCACTAACTGATACGGTTTTATTATCTCCTTGGCATCATTCATAGTGTAAATAAGTTTGAATGGAAGGACGGTTATAAAACTGTGATTATTCTAAACATATTATCAATCTAAGCCGAAGAAGAGATTATGTTTATCCATTTTAACATATACAAGCATTTGCTGACTGCTCATCAGTCACACAAGACATGACACAAGCTGTCATTGGTCGTGTGGTACTCCTTTAAGCAGATGTAAAATTACAGGGTTGTTGCTCAAATCCTTCCACAGAATTCATATTTAGAGCGTTTATTTTTACAAATTCAGTGCACCATATTTGGGGTGTGCGGTGGCCGTTTGAAATCCGTGTGTCCCTTTAAATGCCTAAAGTTTTGGGACACATTGTTTGGCAGAAAAAGCAGCCTTCGTGGAACTGTGGAAACGAGGAATGTCCACAAACACAGAGGAAGGAAACGTGTGCTGTGGACATGCGATGAAGGCCGAGCCATTAAAGCCAGGAAGCCTCTGATAGGAACATCCTGTGATGTCACACACTCATGGCCCAGGCATTAACGCTTGTTTGCCTCATGCATGATACCGTATGTACTGTATACAATATGTAGACACACACATCCTGCACCTCCCTTACTTATCTGGCTGTTAGTCAGGATCACATTGTGGTGAACCAACTTCTGGGGTCAGTGACTTATAATGACACCAAAGCACACACACACTGTTAGCACACATTGTGTAATCGTAGTGTTGTTATTCTACTCTAATACTAGCATGACTCATTCTGTAGGATTAGGCAATTCAGGTTTGCTGCCACATTGAAGTTGAATCACACACACACTTGACTGCAAAAACACAGTGGATTTCAAGTGAAAACAGTTGCATAATTTAAACATCAGGGGTTAATATCAGTTATTGTCGGTGTTGACTGTGGTTTAAAGCAGTGATTTCTTCACAATGCATGAGTCATGGGCATTTCAATACCTGCTGTTTGTTGCCTTTTCTGACAAACGCCACATTTATTATTTCAGCTTGAGAAGGAAATAACATGGAATACGGGTGGAGGCGGTGAATGGAAAGAAAATATGTTCCCACCAAATATCAAAATATGGCGGCGTCCTTTTTTCAATAGCGGGTACAGCTCAGTTAATTCTTTATTCTCCATTTTGATGGGTGTTTTCAACTCAAATATGTTTGGCTTGTGTTAAAAATATAGGAGGGGTTATTAAGATCACAATATTCCCACTGTGTGTCAGGATGTGAGAGCAGCCTGAGGAGCGACCAGACTTCAACAAAGATCCTGTCCTGCAATCCAGGCAACAGCAGCAGAGTTGGTCAATGCATCTCAAGCTTGCAGATCACTTCAAAGTAGTAGTAGTAGTAGTAGTGATAATAGCAACTGCGTGAAAAAGTTGTGACATCAGTATAATTTATGTCCAAAAGTATGTCCACTTGCTCACATTGACAGGATTTTAATTTGCATAACCATCTGTTTACTGCATGTTATCCCATAGGTGCATTAAAGAATGATCGAGAGGACTTAAATAAAAACATTCACTGAAAAGCTTTAATTACTTACACAATCACCTTCAGAGCAAAGTAAGACGTAGATGCCAAGCTTCATTTTGCTTGCCGTTGTCTATGCAGAGGTCAAAGGTCAACAATCAGTCATCCAAGAACTCTTTATTGATGCAAATGCTTACTGTAGAGCAGTAAAGGACACACTTTCAGACAGAAAAATCAGCAAGAAAAGTTATTGTCTTTGAGTGTTTGTTACTTTTGCTTCACCTTCACCCCGGGTTCAGTATTTTCCCCTTCTCACCAGCTTCATTCCCTCACTAATGTCCATTTTCCTCCTTATTTGTTTCCTCTTATCATTATTCTAACAGACTTTTGTTTAGCTGTAAAGCCAATGAGGCACTGAGTATTTCCTGGCCTGCACATGTGTGAAAGGAGTTGAGTTTAAACTGTATATTGAGGCAACGGAGCACACTTGTTTATAATCTGTATTCTGGACATGCTGTATACACTGTATTTACATGCAAGCACTCATGTGAAATAATCCTTGGGTCTCTGTTTATATTCTTGAAACATCAAATAACAATAACAGAAACATATATGTTGTTATGTTGGACTTGAATAGACCTGCCAATCAATAGCGTGGTACCGTAAACTGTATAAAACACATTTTAGTAACATTACCTATTGGAGAAGCATTGGGACCAACAATAAGACTGTCATATAGGCTTAATTCTGCTGTAAAATGGGAATTTTCACACAGGCGGTCATTGGGTCTCTCTGGCTTTTAGAGTCAGCCTCAAGTTGGCCCTCATTTTTTAACACCAAGGATGGACGCTTGAGAGATACCAGCTTCCAAAACTGTGTTTGAATCATGGGTGAGGTCATATATAAACTTACATTGGGGTCATAAAATAAGCGGTAAAATGAGTGTAATTTTATATAAGATCATACAAAAATGAGATGCAGTGTGTTAAGGAAACTTGTTTTAACATTTAATCCAGTTGTCTGGCAGTTCAGGTGTAGAGTGTAGGTGAGTGTCCCATGCCTTATGTTTCATGAAGGCTCAGGGTTTTTTGAGGGCACTTAAGTCCAAAAGTGAACTCGGGGTGTAAACATTGACCCACAGAGTGTTTTACTGTAAGATGACCTGTGAGCTGCAGCAGCTGGGTTGCAAGATAATTAAGATGACGTTCCTTCAAAGGGAATGACTGCAGCCAGCTCCCACATGAGCAAACATCTGCATCCCCGGAGGGTCTAATGTTAACCTTTCACCTCCTGAAAAACAGTAATGAGGTTGAATTTGTCTCTACGAAATACTTAACTTTTTTCAGCAATTTCCTCTTTTTGTGATTACGCTCACAGTTTGTATACTCACACCTTCTCTTTACAGCAGGTCAAACACGGCAAAGAAACACGAGGAATCCCACCTGTTGGAGCTGTGTCTGTCCTCACAAAGCCTCTTTTACATCAGACCAACCTCTTTCCAAACATGCCTCCCATGCCATAAAAACTTCAAGCAAACTCTCAACAATGAGTAGTATATTTTTACAACTCCACAAATCACTCCAGAGGGGGTGAAGCACATGTGTATTTCCTTTGGCAATTACTGCGAAAATGACTCAGTTTGTGTGCATGAGTGGGAGTGCTGTGGCTGTGTTTGTGTGACAGAAATAAGTACAGAAATTCAATGCAGCTAAAAAGTGATGTCAAACCAGAAGGGACAATTGAAGATTGAACTGGAATTTTTTCTGTCCTTATTTTGGGAAAGTCTTTGCAGAATTACAAGGAGTTAGAGAGGAAGTGTTTTGAGTTAAGAAGAGAAAGTTTTAAAAAGGACCAATAGGCAGCCAAATTACAGACTCAGAGCGACTGCATTTGACTTTTTTAACTTAACTTCACATCCTTAGTGTCTTTATTTGTTGCTTTACTGTTTAGTATCTGCTACATGGTACATTTGAAGCAGTTTAGATCAGCTGCAGACAATATTGGAAAACCAGGTAATCAAATACTATACCTTGAATAGTAGTTGTATTAATGGTCATGTGCACACGTCTATAGTTTCATATCTTACCTTTTATATGAAATACTTATCATATCTTTATTCTTTATATATGTTATATTTTCATTTTTTACTTATTAAATCATGTTTCTTTCTGTATATTGTGGGGTCAACAAATGTGAGAAATTACAGGTATAAAACTGTAAAACTCCTCTCAATATTAAAGGTGTGACCACACTCACTTAAGGTGAATTTTTTCCTGCAGCCAAAAACTCAACCTGAATTTACCTGGACATTTCACCACGAAACTACCGGGTAAAAGTTCCAAAAAATCAGGGCTTAGTGAATTCACACATGCGCTCAGCTTGGACAATGTCAGGAAATGCTGAGTGGGGCATTGTGTGTATGACAGGGGATTATGTGTGCTTGTATGGGCTTCAATCTCACAAAATGTCTTTATTTTGATTTTAAAAAATAGATCAATAAAGCAGTTGTTCCTATTGATATTGGTTGATATGGACACACATATTTTTGGTAAAGGTGCAGAAACTTGCAGCATAAGGAGAGATCTGGTTATATTATAGTTAATTTTCCTGTGGGACACCTCAGGGGTCAGTCCCAGGACCACTCGTGTTTTCTCCTTATTTCTTGCACCTGGGACATGTTGCCCATTAATGCGACATTGATTTTCATTTTTATGCGGGCGACACCCAGCAATACTTCTATCTTAGCCTTAAGACCCAGATCACATTTCCTTACTCATTAATTGTATTACTGACTTTAAAAAAAATGGGATGGCCCACAACTTTCTACAGCTAAACATGAACAAGATAGAGATCATCATTTCTGGCCAAAGCACCGCACACACCCATATCACTGAAACTCCAGAGCCTCTTTTTTTGCAAATATTTTGAACAGCTGCAGAAATCCTGGAGTCTACATCATATAATTATTATTACATTTGCACACAGCCATGGAATCAAGACAGGAAATAAAAGCTGCAGTACAAGGTCATACGCTTGGATGGATCTGTAAATCTTCTCCATCTTCTCCATCTATTATTAGACTTTTAGGAAGTCATCCTCACACCAGGCTAAACATTCACAAGAGCTGAACAGGCTCTGACGCCGAGCGGTAACGTGGCCCATACTCGTCATTCCTGCCTGTCAACAGTGAGGTTAACTGAAGTCACCGCTTCAGTTAAGTTCAGCCTCTGATCAGTAAGAACATACCTGTTTACATTCATGTTTGGATGTTGCCATGGCAGCAGGAAAGGTGTTAAGAGTCCATTGATTTTACAGACTCTGCCGGCACGTCAATCACATCTTAACTCACCTTGAACACAGACACATCTGGCGCAAATATCTTGAGGGGTTTTTGGCAATCTTTAACAATTTGCAACTTCTTATGCAACAGAAACATCCAACATGGCTGACATCAGACTTGTTGTGTTTTAGTAGCATTTTTAAACTCAAATTCCAAGTATATGCTTAAACAACTTGTTGCATTGTATCTAAGTAGCACTCTGACACATTCATAGGTTATTATAACCTCAAACACCTGGAGCATTATCAATCAGACAAATATGTGGTGTAGTGGTGAGCTGTTAGCTAATATAACTGATTCTAACATCTGATTTAAGTGATTTATAATTCAACCCAGAGATTGTATAAAAAGATAGGGTCATGAAAGCACACCAAAAGTGAAACAAAACACTTTGACATCCTCCTTCTGGCTGGTTGCAGTAAAGGTCATAGACTCCACCCCCTCCATGTTAACAGATGGGACATGGATCAAACTTATAATCTTCTAATAAACATGGTTTCTGTCATTTTCTGTCACAAAGTAATAGTTTCAGTCTCACCAGCCCACACTACATAGACTAACCCATGGTGCCACCCACCAGTAAGGGAGCAGCAAATAACTTTAATTTAGTATGACACATACTGAGACAAAGTTACTCCTTCAGTTGACCACATGAAAAAGTATTTGTGTGTCTTATGTGTGCGTGCGTGCGTGCGTGCGTGCGTGCGTGTGTGTGTGTGTGTGTGTGTGCGTGTAGGAGCAGAGTGGAGTGGCAGTGGTCTGATATCAGTTGACTCTGCATTCCTGACGGTGACCACATGGTGTAACAGAGTCTGTCATATCAGCCATTCAGCCAGCCGGACCCTTCAGACCTGCAGGGAAGCTCCACACTAACTTTTAAACAGAGGCACTTTAAATCGACAGATTTCACGAATATGATATGTGATGTTTTTGCGGCTGTGTCCCACTGCACACATGGTCCAAATAGAGTCCTATTATCTTTGTTTGTTTTATTTCAATTGTTTATTTGACTCAACAAATTCATGTAGGGATGAGCTTACTGCATATATCCCACTTATGACCTGGCAACCAACTAACTCTACAAACAAGCTGACACAAAATTTTGATTTAAGATGATTTTATTAATTCATAAATGATTGATTATACAGATAAATAAAAGTTTCTCCAATCTAACACCAGTAAAGCTCCCACAGTGATGTGTTATAGCCTTGAATCTGACTGCTGATTTAAGTCCAAGTTTTAAATGTAGTTTCACAATCATACAAAATCCCTCTATTAAGATCTAAAAGGGAGTTTGTCTTACATCTAACATACTCCAACATACACACACCTTCACTTACACACTAAGGGGATTCCTTCAACATCCTGCCGTGTAATTACTGAGGCGTCTGTCCTGCTGCGTTACAGCCTGCCCTCCAAAGGCTAGCCGGAAGATCACAACTTTGATCGCTGCAAAGAGGAGAAGACCAGTAGCAGATAAAATAAGGGAGGAAAATCATACTTAAAGATGGCGATAGACAGTGATAAGCATTTTTTACTCCAAATTCAAAGTGGTCAGAGTTAATAATCATCCAGAGCAAGGTTAAATGTTTTTAACGTTGGTTTCGGTGTCTCTTTTCAAGCTTTTTTATGGATCCGCCAAAAGCAGAATGTAGCAGTGAAGGCAGGAAGATCGTGATGTTTTATGTGACCATAAATAGGAGAGGAAGAGGGAAAGGATCAATAAACAAGAAGAAGAAAAAGAAGAGTTAAAGTGACACGAGGCTTTAACTCTGCTGTGACATGAAGTAATATTTTGATTTTGTAGTCATACTTAAAGACACCTATAGACCACAGAAACTCATTTGTAATCAGAGTCAACGATCTGCATCATTTTTTAATCATGAAAAATGGGCCCTTATTTATTTAAAGGCCCATTCTGCACAAACACCAGGACAAACACGGAGCAGGACGGTAGCCGACCCCAGGGCAAAGGCTAAAGGTCAGCTGCTGTAAAGTGCAGGACAGAAGTGGTATTTATGTGTGTTCGTGTGCGTGTGTGTGCACGTGGATAATAGCCTCAACCTTATTTCTTTCCATGTCAAAGGTCACCTACTACATGTTTTAACTCTAACCCGGTTTATGTCCGGTTAGGTGCATGTGTTGAGTTTTGTCAACTGTTTGTTTGTGACCGAATATAATGAGTCCATTCACTAACCCGTGCAGCACCTCTGCCTATCATCAGCACACACATAGAGCACATAGAAAGACAAACAAATAACACGCTGCTACACAGCAGGACAGGTGCTGCTGGCCCGTGTCTGCCTAAACACAAACACAGATGGGAGGCTCTGGTCTCTTGGATCATGAGTGACATGGTTTTAAAACCGTCAGATCCTTCAGTTTTCTATATAAATGAGATACTGTTTGGAAAGAATAATTGAAAATGGAACTGAATTGCAAATTAAAGGAAAATTACTTTGCAAACTGGCAGATAGGGAGCTATTTGAGGAACCATTTAAATGTCTTGTGTTACCATCCAACCCCAGGGAGTAAAGATATTGTTAAGATTGTAGTAGATTGATACCTCTGTGAGGCTTACACTGAAAACTCATGTTTTTCAAAATAAAACTCTGATGATACGAAACAGAAGGAGAAGAAGCCCCATTCCTGATGGCTGTCTAACAGTTGGTAAAACCAAGTGTGCTTGTAAAGTAGACAATAAGAGCACAGCTACATCTTATTACGAATTAACTTCTATAAAGATGAAGTAATGCATAGCCAGACTTCTGTAAAATGGATCCACTGGCTTCAAAATACCAACATGTCAATGCACAAAATGTTCCTACCCATAACAGTCTGCAAACTGAAGGTCATGCATACTTCTTCAAGTCAGTCTCTGATCAAATGCACAATTGCATAAGCTTTTGTCATCTTGAGCTTTTACACATGCACACTCTTAAAATTGTGTTGTTGTTTTTTTGTTTTTTGACATATATCTGGTAAAGTGTCTAAAAGGCAGTGAGATAATGACAGATCATTAAATACTTCAAGAAAAAGGTCTAAATAGAGTTAACCTATGCACTACTTTTACTTCTACCACTTTAAAAGCATCAATTGGTCTGACAACTGAACAACCTGTGACTTGTTCAGGAAGATTTTTGACTAACCACAGATCTTCGTCAGACAAAGCTTGATGTAAAAAGTTCTCTCTGAAAGTTTTTAGGCTACAACTTTGGGGAATTTTCCAGCTAAAATCTTTTTCAGTAGGTAATAATTCAGCCACAGTTCTGCTGCCAGTGAGAGAAAACACAACCCCTCTCTTTGTCATTGTCTCTCTTCCTCCCGTCATGCTGACTCCTCTTCGCTGTGTCCCTATCTGTTTCTCCTCATCTGCTTTTCTGCTTTCTTCCCACTCCCTCACCCTAAATGGCAGTTATATAAAAGCCAAACAGAAAGATGATGCCTTCAGGCACAGAGAGAGCCGTGGAAAAAATGCTGAAAAGAAGTCAGTAAAGCAGTGAGACAGACTGACAGGGGGATGTAGGGACAGACGGATGGTAAAAATAAGATATTTAAGGAGAAGCACTGCTCCACTCCTTGTTTGGCTTCTCTTCCTATTGGCCGTTATGATGGCCAATCAGAGTCCAGGGGAGGAGCACTTCCTGTGGGCTTGAGGGGGGCCTCCCATGTGGTCTGCAATATATATGTGTGTTAAAGTGTGTATGTTGAGGTAGCTGCGTAAAAGCGTGCACTTTTTGCTCACATTATTTTGTAAATAGTGGAGACACGTGTGTACCTGGACATGTGTATACCTCGTGTGTGGCTCATGCTGGTATCAAGCGTGATCATCAGTTCTGTGTGTTAGGCTGGTGTGGGCATGTGTACATTTTGTACCCTGGACTCATGCCCATGAAAGGTTGTGGATCAGGGAATTTCAAGAATGTGGGTTGTTTAAGGACTCTGACTTTTTGAGAAGAGGTTGATATGAAAATAAAAGCTATGAAAAACATTTTTTAAAGAAAACTTCTGTGTAGGGAGACCTTTTTCTGTTAATAGAAGTATGAATGAAGTATAAAGCTGAATGCTTTAGCTTGTTGCTGTCTCACCTTTGCTGATCGCTAATTTTCTTAGGAGTGTATGAACGTGTTCAGGATGAGGATATTCAGCGACATCTAGCACTAATACTCTGGAGTGGTGTAAGGCCCTCTCACTGGTCTCTCCTGTCTCCAAGGCAATAGTGGCCCTAGAGGACCAAAAAGGATTTATGCGGTAAAGATGGCGTTATCTACAACAAGCAAGAGTTTAAAAGCCACATGAAGAGAAAAACTGATTTTCAGTCATTTTTTAATGAAAATAAAGTTCCAGTAAAATCATTTTCCTATGAGGTCAAAGTCGTAGTTAGGTTATTTTATCAATGCAATCAAGAATGTAATGTTATGAGATTAAAGGAATAGTTCTACGAAAGATATCAGATTTTTGGTTCACGGTGAGCCGTCTGCTTCTTGTGTCAAAATGAGGAATGTGGAGCATCTGGTGAAATCATCTTTAATGTTTTATGTCCTCAGCACCACTTTGTAATAAGTATGGGCACTCTGAGATGTGTGGTATTCCCCCTTCAGAAAAGCTGTGACTTTATCTTGTAGCATTATGACTTCATTTGCATAAGAACATGAAAATCTTATATTCATGTGGCCCTAACACCCCGCTGTAAGAAGGAAACATTGGTTGTGTTTAGCTTCACTTAGCTAATTCCAGCTTGTGTTACGAAAACGATGAAAAACTTGTGATCTTAAAATTCTAATATTTGATAGTCTTACTGTTTCTAGAGAAATCTGGCTCTGTGTTGCGTTAAGTTCTAGAGGTAAAAGGTATATCATAAACCTCATATGGAATATTCAGACTGATTTGATCTCACCTCCTTTATCATAAAGCTGAAACACATCCAGAGGTTTTTGGTAGGTGTTTAATAGCAGTTTCCCTTTTCCTTGTGTATATTTTATTTCGTATGGAGCTACATGATTGTCCTTGGCTCAGAAATACACAATGAAAATAAACTTTAATAGTAGTTTTATTGACTGCTACTGAGTGTCAGTTTTCAGAAACAAACCCCTAAATCTACTGGAGCCTATAGACTTGGAAAATAACCAGCAAGCCAAGAATAGTGATATACCACATGCAGCTTTCTGTTTAGGAGCAAAGGCAGATGTTGAGTGATTAGAAAGTTGCAATTGATGGGGTGGGAAAACAAGAAAAAAAACATTTGCACTCTCTTTTAAAGTACACATTGAACCAGATATTCAATTGCATGCAGTTCACAGCTTCTGAGGGTAAAATGTGCAAACTCTATGACCTCCTGCAACAATTTCTCAAAACTAGTGCTGCAAATAACCTTCCAACACTGCCCTACCTATCTTTGGAAACAAAAGGTCAAGTACTAATTTATGCACATATTACCATAAATCAAGATAAGTGCTAATAAAGCATCCAAAAGACACAGTCAGTACATTTAAAGAGACATTACACTAAGTGAACACACATGGCTTGTAAAAGTGAACGCAGGCCTTTCCAGTGTTTTGATTGTGCTGTGTGTATGTGTGTATGAGTGTGTGTATATGTGTGTGTTTTGGCTACCTGCCCAAGGCCGATGTTGATAAAGTGTGACCACATGAGTCCCCAGTGGAGAAAAAGATGGAAATGAGCCAGTGTATATACGTACGTTTTCTCTCACTCTCTCCCTTTCTCCACATAACAGAGGCAGCCTATTCTTTATGTCCTCCTCACCTCTCTCACTCTCACTTTCTCCCTCCTTCCTCCCTTTTTTCTACTTATCCCCTCTCGCTCTCTTCTTCTCTCACACACACTCAGAAAAACACACAAAGGACTGTGGTACATGTGTTCATAATGTCCTGGCGGTCTTAGATTTCTAGGAATTGCTTCATACTTTCTTGGAGATTAACCCCGTGTGGATCAAGCTGTACTGTAGATTTCTAGGGTAAATATATACCACGTATGTGCGACTTTGATGTGGATTACAGCATCACGGCAGGTAAATGCCTTCCACTGAGCGATGTTTAATCAGAATTAAACATTTGGATAAACTGTGAGGTGCGCTCTATCTTTAAATACCACTAAAAACATACTTGCCTCCTGACGCACAGCTCTAATCTGTTTTGGTTTTGGTTTGTGGCTGACCCAAGAGTCCAAAATCTACATCCAAAAATGTCATCATCGACAGCTTGTTTCATAAACCATGGCACCAATCAGATAAGCTGTCAAACCTCATGTGAATGCTGTCAGTGAGGAGTGCGCGTTGCTAAAGGGCACCTGCTGACAAAGGAGAAAGAGAGGGAAGTGGATGTAAACACACTGGCTAAGCAGAGCTGTAATTTTGTGGCACCACTGGTTATCGCTGACGGTTTGCTAGTTACAAATTTGGAAAAGCCGGCATTATCCAAGCATTAGACGGAAACAAAAACACATGAGCTCAACCAAAAGTTTTGTTTCCTTTCCAACATGTTGTTTCTTGTCCCCAAGTACCCAAATACTTTTATTTCTGCACATTTAGCAAAGAAAAAAAAAACAAGTTATGGCTCTAATGTGCCTCAAAGGAACATGCCTGTATAAAGGGTCATACAAACACTTCAAGCTTGTACAGTGATGTACAATAGTTGTGTTGGGAGACAAAGAGTGGTCATGACGGGGGGATGGTTACTCTTTTACACCAATCTTAAAAGCTTTTGGACCCAATCCAGAAATTCTGATGTTGTACAGATGTGGTGCACTGGATTTTAAGAGGCTCTATGGGAATTCAGCTTACTTGTAAGACTGTCATCATCATTCAGAGACCATTGCTTTTAGATATAAAGACCTTTGCAACTTAGCCTTAGCTGTCTTGAACTAAAGGTGTGGTGTTTTGAGATTATGGCAAAAATGGATGACACTGGGCTGGGGTTGCAGTACTAATTTTGTCATTTATATCTGCAATGCCATAAACCATGAATGATTTCTGTAAACACAATTGAATTTTCAACAATAAGAAGAGTGTTTCAACTCTTACAGATGTCTTAATTAAAAGTGAAGTATACAGTTGACCAAAAGTTGCCAAATCAGGCTGTAAATATTCCCTGATAAACTGGAGGGTTGTTGTTTTTTTCCTCGACATGGGGGTCTATGAGGAATGACTCACTTTTAGAGCCAGCCTCGAGGGGGCCACCCAAGAGACTGCAGTTTTCAGTAATGGCTGCATAATTCAGCCTTTTGACAGAATCATATTGGGCACATTTTCAGCATGCTTACACCTTTTGAAAATTTTTAGGCACCAAGCTATATATTTCACAAAACACTGACTAGACTCTTACACTTATTTCCATACAAAGGAAAACATACAAAAAACATTTTTGCCTCCACATGGAGCTTTTTTTTTTTTAAATAAAAACAAATGCTTCTTCTTCTGAAGATGAACTATCACATGGTGGGTGTTACTTAGTACGAATAATGACAAGTTAATGACTGAAGGGTTGGGCAAAGTGGGGAAGGTCTTGGTCGCAACATCAACTTCAACATTCATATTTGCAAAAACAAAAATCATGCTTGTGTTAACATGATAAAAATTTATACAATAAAATGAGTGCTTAGAATAAATTAGCTATTTTACAGAAGTTTTGATTTAAAATAAATGCATATAGACCGAAAAGTTGACCATAACTGGCTATAAACAGCTGTAATGTTGTCTTTTTCCTCTCAACATGGGCATCTATGAGGAGTGACTCACTTTTACAGCCAGCCTCAAGTGGACACCTTAGGAACTGCAGCTTTTGGCATTTCAGTTAGATTAGTTTAATGTGGTTAAAAAAAGTTGTATAACAGGCAAATTCAGTTAAACATGATATGTTATAAGAACAGAGTTAGCTGACAAAGAGACTGTGCAGTGTCCTTATATATTTACAGTAACATGTATAGTGCTGACACTCTGTTTGTTTTGGAGCAGCAGAGCACATTACAGCAGACTGAGGTCATACAGCACAGTGTGTGTTTAGTGTGCACTGGATTGACTTTATATACGTGATCTATGTCTTCCTTAAACACATCTCCGTTTCTGTGCAGCCTGAAGAAAAACAGACAGCAGCCCCCGGGTAAAAGGATCCATTTGTGGAAAGAATACTTTAATCTAAAGCTCAGTGTGAAGTCATGCACTGTGCGCCTCTGCAGACTCTGCAGCAAAGCAGAACAATAATTAGAGGGAGAAAAGTTTGAGTCTGGCAGGTGCTATGAGTCATGGATTTAGGTTTTATGTAATGAAGTCAAAGGTTGCACACACACACACACACACCTCCACCACTTTTTTTTGGGGCTATTTTGATATTCAGCAATTTTATCAAATGATTCCCCAAGAAAATAGGAATAATTCATGTTCAACACACAGTTATACACTGTTGTTTAAATGCAAAAACGTGCAACTCTCTATTCAGCTACAAGCAACATTTTTTGCAACCACTTAAACATCAGCTTCAGTCAGAACCCTTACAGCAAAAACCACCACAAAATGTTCTGTTTTCTTTCCACCAAAATAAGAGCACCGCCTAATCCCTCTTGGTAAACAATGGAGAGGCTCCTGAGACTCAATTTAGTGTGATGAAACAGACAATTACAGTTTAGCATGTCATGTTCAATTACTAAGCTTTGAGAAAAGTCAGATTTATGTTCTGCACTGTCAGATGAATTGAGTTTGTCCTCGACTTGGATGAATACTCAGTCGTTAATCACGTTTTTGGCTTAGATTTGGGTACAGGGATAAAAAAAAGTCAAACAATGACATCTCATTTTGCAGTGGTCTGTAACAGAAGTGTTGATATTTGCTGCCCTCTTCTGATCAATGTCATAAACTTCAGCATTGAGACTTCAAGGCCTACCTTTTAAAATCTCTCAGAGCTTCATATTGACATCAACCCTACAAGTCTGAACATTTTCACGTGTCTTTATTGTATCCCATCGTATCTCCATCCAGCTCTGTTTAAGGGTGTTTTGGGTTTCAATTTGCAGCTGACTGAGCACTTCAAGCCAGGTTTTTGTAGGATTTTATCAAGTTAAATACAGAGACAGAATTTTCACCTGGAGGATGCAAACAGCATTTAATAGAAATAGTAGAAACCAACAACTCTGTACAAGACTTCCAATAACTGCAACCGCTTTGTATCATGTCTTATATCCTGATCATGGGATACTTTGTCATCTTTCAAATGTTATTTTTATCCGAGAACTATGAAACTATGTCAGAAGTTACAATAAGTTTACACTGTGATGGTGAGCTGGGGTATTGGTGTGGTTACAATCCAAGCCAGCTCAACTCAATCACCAAAACCACATCTCTATTACATTTCTCAACCAATACACCGCAAAAAAAATCAAGAGTAGGCTAGTGTTTTCAACTTAATCGACCTTTTATAGGCCACCTCCAGGTGACAAGACAATATAAACATCTCATTACAAGGTAATACAAAGCTAACCAATCTGCCCACAGTGGGTGTCAAGTCAACACAGACAGAACGACAGAAAATTTAGACATTAAAAAGTCCTAATTATAGTGTTTTATGGCAGTGTCCATGTCCAGAATTTAAATGATTTTAGTCCGTCTTGTTTGTCTGTGGTACTGAGCTTTTAAGGGTGTAAATAAAGGTGTAGATTTATCGAGGGTGTAAATGTGAAGGAAACCCCTCTTTAGATCTGTGTCTCTCTTTCAGGGAGGCTCCCCCTCCAACCTGAATATGAACCTTTATGCCACCAAGAAGACAGCAGCTGAAGGCATGCTGGACATCGCTCTGTTCCTGGCAAACATCACTCACATGAAGACGGTCATCGAGCAGGGAGCTGGATACAGGTACTGAGTGCGTGTGTGTGTGTGTGTGTGTGTGTGTGTGTGTGTGTGTGTGTGTGTGTGTGTGTGTGTGTGTGTGTGTGTGTGTGTGTATGAAGGCAAAGGTATGAAGGCAAAGGGAAAACTGTTCGTCCTTCCCTTCATCTCCTGAAGTGTCATATTCATGTAGTAATTTTTATTTCTCCCTTGTCTTCAGGTACTACGCTGCTGTCTTGACACTCATCTCCTTCTCTCTGGCTCTCCAGATAGTAGCTGGAGTCCTGATCATCATCATAGGTGAGCCAATCAGCTATCATCTCAGCATTCTTTATCTTTGAGGCCGACCATGACAGAAATCCACCCTCCATGTTTTAACCAATCATATTAACACACTAACACACTGTGTGATTTGAAAATGAAGGCACTGCATTTAGTCAACTTTGAACCTTTGGAGGTGTAAAACCTCAGAGAAGTCAGTATTTTGTCTTAGCAACATCATGAAAACTATAAATATCAAAAGCTAATGTAAGCAAAGTCATATGAATATTAGAAAACTTCCTTTTTGTGTAGTTTGTTACTTGTCATTGTATTTGGCATGTGTGTGTGTACACGTGTGTGCTTGTTGCAGCTCGACGAGACCTCAATGAAGAGGCCAACCAGAAGCGGCTGGACAGCCTGAACAACTACGCGACTATCCTCATTTTCCTCATCTTTGTCACCAACATCTTCATCTCCGTCTTTGGGATGGAGCGCACCGGCCTCTTTGCTAGGATGCATTTCTGATTTGAAGACGTAGGGGATGCCTCGTATATGTGGAATTTGGAAAAAGCAAACAAATTTACACACACAAACAGAAGAGTGTGACTTATAGCCCTACTCAAAGTACTAATCAACTACAGTATTACTTCCAAAAGATGTCTTTAAATGACTTGAATCAGTGTGAATGGGCTGAGCCAAAGCACCAACTAGACGTATGTGTGTGTGTGTGTCTCTGTCTGTCTGTGTGTTCTCGTCTGCATGTGTTTGTGTGTCTGTGTGTGTGTGTACCCATGAACAGCTCGTTGCGAGCTGACTCTTCTACCCTCTTACCAGCGTTTGTTAAACTTCCTGAATAATTTGATCACTGGTCTCTTCTTCCTCACCTTGATCGTCAACATCATCAAAGCCGCCTTCGGCACACAACGCAGCTGCTTCCTGCGGTGGCTGTTACAGAGATTTATTCTATGAAGCAGCTTGAGCAAGCATATCTTTCAGATTATTGGTACATTTATACTCTGTTACTATTATAAATATGCATGTTTGAAGTGGATACTGCAGTTCAAATAGGACAGTTCAGGGAAAAGCTTCTTGCATCTGAAAATTGTAATTCTCATAAGTGCCACCAGAGGGAGTTAGATTTGTGTACACAGTTGCAGCTTTAATTTTTGACTTTCCACCAATACTTAGAGGTGGGGTAGGTAGGATCTGAGTGCCAGCTACTTTGGGGACAGTGTGAAGTTAGCAACAAGTCACAGATTTCCAGTATTAATGTAAACCTACCTCCTGTAAAATTTACCGTAATTTGCACTAACAGCTTAAAACAGACATTAGCAGGGAAGAGCCCGAAGAGCATCACTCTCAAACTAAACCACTTAAACTAGGCTGCTTCCAGTTAAATTAGAAGATTGACGCCTCTCTCGTATCAGGAAGTAAAGATAAATGTATTGTTGATGTCAGTAGACTATTAGCCTAGCTTAGCACAATAAATTGCAGCAAGAGTCTACTTTTAGTCTGACTCAATTCAAAGGTCAAAAAATCGCCCAATCAGCACTTTTTTGATAGCTACCTGAGCTAAAAAAAAATAAAACATAAAAGGTTTTTTAAGATCCATACACTAATATAACTCTACTGACTGTAGTATTCAGTTTCACATGAGTGAATTGCAAGTCAATGTACAACTGCAGTTAGACACAAATTCATAATTCATAATTTAGGCATCTCTATTCATTCCAGTCTGTTATATAAAACTCTTTTCAGGAGCTTAAATTTCACAGAGGATTCAATAGTGGAAAACTGTGATTGACAGGTGTCAGAGCGTCACATTACTTGCCCAGGCTCTACTGGCTGTAAATGGGATTGTTTAAAGCCCATTTGAATGTTATGTAAAAATTTAGTGTTATCATTATCGTTATGTAACAGTTATTATGGTCTACAAGATTTTATTATCATATCCAAATCCCAGCTGCAACAGATGGTGGATCCTTGTTGTTCCGGGGCAGTAATGAAATTTATTTGTTGTGCTAGTTGATTTTTATCTCTTATGTATTGAATACAAATTAAACAGCTGTTTGTGTGTCAAAATGTCACACAAGCCAGACAGAGGCTGGGGAGGGGGGGGGGGGGGGGTGCATGAACTACTGTATGTTTGTTTGTTTGTTTGTTTGTTTGGGGTGACTGTGAGTTTATGTTCATGTGCGAGGATGTGCGCTTCAGCAGTAAATGTGTGTCAGAGCGTGGAAATGTTTGAAACTGTGTGTTTGTGTGTCTGTCTGTGTGCATGTGTGTTTGTGTTGTAGCTCGCAGGGACCTGAACGTGGTGTCCAATCAGAAACGACTTGACTACCTGAACAACCTGGCCACAGGCGTCATCTTCTTCACCACGGTGATCAACTTCTTCATCAGCTTCTTTGGATCCAAGAGGACCGGCTTCTTTCGCTGGCTGCTGGCTCGACTACACTTCTGACACACACACACAAACAAACAAAAAACACAACATACTGTACATTATACATATACACCCATCCATACACACTTGAAAATGTCAAAATATAAGAGAAATTAAGCTAAAATTAGTGTGCACATGTACACAAACGTTTACCAAGCTGAGACAAACACTTCAAACAGGATTTTTTTAATGTAAATAAGGCTTTGAAAATGCTTTCAGAATTTAATCCAACTAAAATATTTTCACTTTAACCCCCTAAAAATCCATGTAATGATGCATCCTTTCTCTTGCTGTTATAATGTACCCAAACCCAAATATTGTGTGTTCCATGTTATTGTATTCCAACCTGTTTCACTCTTGTGTTTCAGCAGTTTTGTATCGTTTAACTTTTAAGAATCTTGTTCAATATGATATGTTGAAACCAGACACAACAGGGTTAAATGAATAAGAGGCATCCTTCCAATGTGTACGAGCAAAATAAATATATTAATTCAAGATAAACCTATGATACACTCAATGTGATTCTTTATACGCGGCTTGATTTAATGCAAAATCACAGGATGGATATGAAGAGGATTGCAAATAATAAACCTAAGTGTACACAAGTGTTTTCTTGCATTTAAGTTTTCAAAGGTTGAGGCAAAGTGGCCTTAACCTTAAAATTTGTCAATTAACTATAATGGGATCCAATTGTCCTGCACTGTTCTCTATCTGAGTGTCAAGTGCAGTTTGAACTCTCTCCTTTTGCACTGTGTGTATATGTGTGTCGTGTGTCTCACAGGCCGTCGAGATCTGAATAACCCCACCCTGCAGAGACGTCTGGACTACCTGAACAACGTGACGACCATTATAGTCTTCGTCACCACAGGCCTCAACTTCTTCATCAGTACCTTCGGCATGCAGCGCACTGGACACTTCCCATGGCTCATGATGCGGATTCACTGATGCACAAACACGCACATATCCTCATAATTATAGACTTACAGAGTGTCCTTGCAGATTAACACTGCATGCATATATAAAGAAAACTTTTTATGCCTTGGTTTTAACATTTAAATCTGATTAACCAATCTTAAAGCTTGTATGAGAAGTTTTTGACATTTATGAAATGTATTGAAATTCATATTAATGCCTCTTCGTGATATCTAAAAGCAAACAAGGCCATTCAGGACAAGATTGAAAGCTTTATCTTGTCATTCTTGAAACATGAAACTGGTTTGAATGGGTAGGATTATCCAAGTAACTAGAGAAATAGCTTTTTTTTTTCAAAGTACACATAAAATACTTATTAAAAAAATGACATGTTTGATTGTCAAAAGTGAACAGGATGAGATTTTTGGGTCAAAAAACATTTCTGTTTGTAGAGGGCAGGATGAGCAAAGATTGCTTTGTCCTTAAGGGGCACCAAAGTTAACAAAGCAAATGTTTCTCACAGGAGCTTAACATTTGTTGTCCGTCTGAGCCTTTTGCTGCTAAAGTATGTGCATAATATATTAGCACTAGCTTTTGTTATTAAAAAGTGACTTGATATTTTCAAAATATTAATATATGTAAAATTATGCTTTCCTCCTCATTTTTTTCCTTATATTTTGACTAAATTTTCTCTGTAAATCATATATGGTAATAAACCTATCACATCTGTAGCCTTATTTTCTACACATTTACTTCATGGTGACATGCAGGAAAGGTCAGGATAATTAATTCTTTTCTAATTTAAAGCTCCTGGGAGGAACTGTCAGTTTTTGTCACTGTGGCGCCCCCTCTGGGCAGAGGAGTCTTTGCTTGTTTTATCATCTACATGCTTAAGTCGTGTCTCCCTACAAAAATCTTACGCTGACTTTTGACAGTAAGATTGATCATTTTGTGAATGTAACATTTGCAGGACTACCTTCATGATTACATTTTCTACACACCACCCTTATGTACAACAGCTGCTTCATCTGGCAAATAATTTTTAAATAAAACTCTTGCAAAGCTTGCTTATTTACTAATTAATTGTTTTCTGTTTTTGCAAAATATAATTGTTATTGAAGTCTTTTTTTGTTTCTTTCTGTGGTCGACTTCTTGTTAATTTAGATATTATTCTATGACTGTTGAGCTTCTACTGTATGTGAACAAGCAATGTGATTTCTAAGTTTCATTTTTTGCATGTTTACTCGTGTTTGGTAAAGTAAACAATGTTCCACTTTCTTGTGACCTTCAGACAGAGTTAGCAGCTCAATGTCCTGTTGTAGTTCACATGGATCAGGGATTGGTCATCGGGTTGTTCTGTGTCAATAACAAATCCATAACCAGGAAGAAGGCTATTTCTCATCTACATGATCCCTTAGAACTCCCAGCAATATTTTGCTATATTTGATCAGCCTATTTTTTTTTTGTTTGTTTGTTTGTTTGTTTGTTTGTTTTTTTGTTAAAATCTATGTAGCAACTCTATCCTTTCGAGCACAGCAAAAACCTCAGCTGTCAGTTCATGGGTACAAAAATTATGTAAAATGAATGTGACAGTAGATTCAGAACCATCAAAGTGAACCAAAAAACAAAAACGGAAATTGATGCCAACAGTACTTTGCCCAAAACACACATAAATCTACAGTGACCAAGCCTTTTCTCACCTGCACATCATTCTGTTAAGTCTTGACTATCAAGAAAAGAAATATTGGGATTGAAACAAACACACTACAGAAACTATTACATATTTACACTAATTCTCCCAGGCGTTTTTTTTTTACTATTTACAGTTGTTTATGCCACTCCTTGAAGCAGTTCCTGTCTGGGATGAGACAGAGGGCCACATCATACTGCTCAAAATCTCTTCTTTGCTTGTTTCCAAGCATTAAGGACCAGAAGTTATTATTTTGCAGACAAGCAGGGAACTTTCTTGTCTCTTGTTGTTCTTTGAATGCTTCTTATTGAACACTGCCGTCAAGGGCACAATAGAAGAAGAATATGAGACCATGTAATTGGTTGAAAGTTTGACAGAAAAGACGTCATCGAAACAGCTTGTCAAACCCGGAAGACATTAGCGGCATTTAACGATAGCGATAGAGATCTTTTTATTACAACTATATGATAAATAACTACGTGTTTACCTGTGTTTCACTGCGAATTTACCATTAAACGTCTCCGATCAAACATCTATTTTTGTGGCTGGATTGTTAACCTTGTGGGAGGTGTAGAAATGCCTGGAAACCCTCGATAGATCGCCGAAAGGGTAAGCTTTTGAACAGTTTTTATCCCACAGAGATACACGGTATAGATCCTGAGAAACTGTAAACAATATTAATGGTGTCACAGCGGAGTTCCAAGTCAGTAAGGATTCCACATTTAGCGTTTTATTTTGAAAGTGTAACGGATTCACTATATTCTGGTTGTGCTTGGCTTCCTGTCTGATACTATGATAGTATTACTATCTAATCTGTTGAGTTGGTGCGTGTTGGGAGGGTAGAGAGATGAATAATGTTATTTTATTTGAAGTTAGGAAACTCGATTGAAATCCTAACACCCAAAACAAGAAAGAAATTCCAGCAAAAACCGATAAACCATTTAATCAGATAGATATGATTCACACCTGGTACCTTTTTCCAGAAAAGGGAGGGGAAAGGTAGGAGGGATCGCACTGTATGTGTTCTCCATAAACGAAACTTACTTCACTTCAAAACCAAGCTCTCTTTCTCCTTCTTAAGAAAACAACGACAGGTTCTTGACAGGTAAATTTAAACTGCTACTGTTCCTTTATCTTTTCTTTAAATCTTCCATTAATTTTCTAAGTCATTTCCTGATTGTTTCTATTAATGGGGAGGCTGTAGTTTTTAGTCTAAAGTCCATATTTGACAGGAATTGTGTTGAGCGCGTTTCGTCCGCGTCGCGTCTCTGCTCCGTCGGTCGGAGACCACATTATGCGTGTTTCAAGTGTGGAAACAGTATAGTGCAACTGTAGTCAGCTGGGCTCTATTTATAGAAAATGACACACTCACAACAGATGGCTTTGCTTTCAGTTGTCATTTTCCTGCTAATTTGGATGTTATTCCGTGACTGTTGAGCTTCTACTGTGTATGAACAAGCAACGTGATTTTTAAGATTTGTTTTTGCAGGTTTACTGGTGTTAAGAAAAGTGGGAAAAAAGTTATTTTATGCTGTGCTGTTATCCCCAGACAGACTTAGCAGCGAAAAGTCGTGTTGGGGTTCTTAATGGATCAGGGATTGGCCATGGGTTTGCTCTGTGTTAATGACTCATCCATAACTAGGAAATATTTCTCACCTACACGAACTGATGAACAGTAGTGAGTCCGCTGGTATTTTATTTTGAAACGTACCGGATGGCAGGCGTGTTTTCCGTGCTTGACATCCTGTCTAGGACGATCTTGTCTGTGTGAATCGACGCGTATTGGAGGCGTAGACGGGTCCTGGCGGTCAGAGTCTCGAAAGGTTTCCCTGTCTGTTGACAGAAGATATTTTTCTGCATTGTTGAGCTTTTAACGGCCTACAGTGTGATTTTGAGTTCAGCATTCGACATGCATTATTGGCAGTACCGTTCACACTTTTTTGTAGAACCGTTTATCTTTTTATAAAGTTTGTTTGACTCTTTGTGTTTAGAAATGCCATCAGTACTTAGAAGTTATGATGGTTATACAGAAATTTATAAATACATCATGGCAAGTATCATCATACATACATAATAATACATAATTTGTGAGAATTTCCTCAGCACACGTGAACAGTTAATTTTTTAGTTATGACAGATCTCTAGAAATCAATGGGTGATGTCTTTCAGACTTGAGCCAGATAAAAACCAAAATAAGAGTCATATGAGCTGAAACTCTTAGTGTTAAAACTGGGAAAAAGAAATGATAATGTAAGCCACATTTTTGGTTAACATATTAAATTCTCTCCTGTAATCTAGACATGGCCTCGGCTCGCATCTTCACACTTGAGGAGCAGCTCCAGTGTTCAATCTGTCTCCAAGAATTCACTGATCCTGTTACTACTCCATGTGGACACAACTACTGCAAGGCCTGTATCACAGTATACTGGGCCAGCACTGATCTGACACAGTGTCCCCTCTGTATGAAACGGTTTCGCACACAACCCCAACTTCAGGTCAACACAGAGTTCAGAGATATGCTGGATCATTTTAACAACGTGAGGCTGAGGAGTGAAGATAACATCCTTGCCAAACCAGGGGATGTTCCCTGTGATATCTGTCCTGGGCCAAAATTCAAGGCCCAGAAGACGTGCCTGTTGTGTTTGTCCTCTTACTGCCAGACTCATCTAGAGCTTCATCAGGGAGTCACATCTCATAAGAAACACCAGCTGATCGAGCCACTGTCAAACCTGGAGAACAGAGTGTGTAAGAAGCACGACAAGATGTTTGAGCTCTTTTGTCTCGTGGACCAGACATGTGTTTGCGTCATGTGCCTCAAAGATGACCATGTAACACACAAAACTATCCCATTAGAGCTCAAGATCAAAGAGAGGAGGGCCCAACTGCTCAATGATGTGACAGAGATAGAAACAGAGGAAAATACTAAATCCAGGAGTGTAACAGAAATCAAAAATTCAATGGACCAGAGAAAGAAACAGGCAGAGAAAGAGCTGGAGAGCATTGATGAGGTTTTTACTGACCTGATTCTATCTTTGCAAAGGAGCCAGATTGAGCTGACTGACTTGATCAAAGAGAGGCAGGAAGCAGCAGAGAAACCAGCCAAAGACCACCTGACCAAGCTAGAGAGGGAAGTTGCTGAGTTGAGGAGAAGAAGATCTGAAATAGAGGCGCTTCTACAGGCCGATGATGGCATCCAGCTCCTCCAAAGATGTCCCTCTCTTGAGTTTCCTGCACATGGAGACCCAGTTGACCCTCTGTCCCATTTTGACCAACTGCAACCGCCTGAACTCCCTGACATCAGCTCACAGAGTTACCTCGGGATGGTGAGAAAATCTGTGGCTCAGATAGAGAAGACATTTAGCAATGAGATGGAGACGCTAATTCATGAAGTCAGGTTTTCTGAAGGCTGTGAGGCGGCAAAACCAGTGACAGATGAGTTTATTGAAGAAGTATGGACTCCACCTCAGGACAGGCTGAAGATGATCCAACAATGTAATGCTGTGGATGTGACTCTTTCCAAGTTACACTCACGGAGTACGGTGTCTAGAGATGGGAAACAAGTGTACCATAGTGGAGTTTGGCAGCTCTTATCAGCTTTATTTAGAGGAAAACCTGATTATGAACTTGTTCTTGGGGAGAATGGTTTTACATCAGGCAGATTCTACTTTGAGGTTCAGGTCAGCGGCTGTGACAGCTGGTCTTTAGGAGTGGCCAAAGAGCCAAACAAAGAGAAACAAATTAAGGAGAGCTGGACATTGCGCGGACTAAACACCCAATCCCACTACAATAAACACTACTGTACTGATGATTGCCCTCTTAACCTGGAGCAAACACCCAATAAAGTTGGTGTATTTGTTGATTATGATAAGGGAGAGGTCTCCTTTTACAATGTGGACACCAGGACCCTGATCTACTCCTACTTAGGATGTAACTTCTTTGAGACCCAACCCAAGTCTTTTCTCTATTCCATGTTTGGTGCTTCCTTTAGCAGCAGAGCAAAGCTCTTTCCTCTTTTGGGTATCATTGAAGAGCAAACAGGTGATGTGCTTGAAATCACTCCTGTGGACACTAACCTGACCCAAGGTTAGAGAGGATCTGACAGCATTTAGTCCTTCCAAACCTGAACTCGTACCTATGGTACCAGTGAAGTTCCCTAACAATTAAAAAAGTATTGATAATAAATTGGAACAGAAACACTGAGGGGGGCTATCCTCCATATTTTGTGGCCAACTTATTAAGCAAAAAAAAAAAGGAAGAAAGAAAGAAAAATACAGACCACCAATCAATAATCAATTCAAGATCTATCTATTTTTGTGATGCAACCAAAGAAATACACCTCCACTCATCAGTTAGTTAGGTGTCTAACAGAATGCAAGCAATGGTTCATGTTTTGATTTTACAGTTTTGCCAAATAATGCAGTTTTCTCAAGTATCAGCTTAAACCTTGTTTGCACCACAATGAAGTTTTTACCTGTCAAGAGAAAGAAGGCAGAACATTGCCTCGGAATATACTGATATATGTCCATAATGCATTGCTCTTGATTGACCAGAAGGTGTCAGCGTTGTTATAGTATTCATAGGTTCAGTTCTGCCATGTCTCTGAAAGGTACAGACAATTAATGATTTTTTAATGTTTACAGCTACAAAAAAACTCTTTATATAAGTTTGTGTTTATGTGATTGCATGTTGAAAAAGCAACTTCGAATTCATTTATGGTCTAAAATATATATATATATTTATTTCAAAAACTAAATAATTAAGAGATGTTCTTGAATGTAATTTTGGGTAACGCTTAATACAAACCCACCAACAAAGCTTAATACTTTATAAGGGAGAACTAAAGGTCTCGACCACTTCATCTTCATCTCATCCTAATTGATTTCGGTATCTTGCCTTTTCTTGTCCATCAAAACACATCCCAAACATTATTTCTTTTTTTTAAGTAATCTATTTAACTTTAAGTTTAGTGTAAGTTGCTGACAAAGAGCTGCATACCCTCCCCTACAATACTCTAGCAGTGATTTATTGTCACCACTGTAAGTACTATAAGTGCATTATTTAGCATCTATCTATCTATCTATCTATCTACAGCTGTAAATTGACATTAAGTTACAGTGGCCTCTCTCTGTGTGTTGCCTTAGAAATGAGCGAGATTTAACAGGCCTACGCTGTTTAATTGCAGCTGTAATCTAACCAGGTACACACACTCATTGGGCACTTTGAATATAAGTGTTTTATATTTATGCAACTTTGACATGCACTTCTTTACTACTTCACTAGGTTTTACAGGTGATGATGACAGGCTTTTAATTGCAATCTGTCAGTCTGCGGTTTGTCTGACAGTAGCTTCTTCACGGATTACAGGTTCTTCTACCTTTTCTGAAAACCATAGTGTAGTTTTTATTTTATTGACTTTGAAACCCTAACTTCCCAAACAAGAAAGACAACACTGCAAAAATTGATATATTTATTCAGATAGATATGTTCTTGACTGCCTGACATAGCAGGGGGAAAAAGGATAGAGGGAAATGATTCCGACTTGGTAACTTTTTCCAGGAAGAGGAGGGGAAAGGGTGGGAGGGATCATGTGTCGTTCTCAAGAAATGAAACTTCATTTCTAAAGACAAACTCTCCTTTTCCTTCTTCCGAAAACAACCACAAATTCTTGGCAGGTAAAGTTCAAGTATGTACTTTGGTTTCTTTTTTTATCTTCCATATTACAAAGTTATTTCCTGGTAGTCTGTATTGCGAGGGAGGCTGTTGTTTTGAGCTTGACTCATGTTATAACTTAAAAGGTCTACCAGACTGTGTCCAGATGTAAAATGCTGCAGTAACAAACAAAATAAAAATGCTAATGCTGTGCTTATTCTGTGTTTAGTCTGACAATGTTTTCCTGTTCTTTTTGTCTGTCTGTATATCAATGGATCTATTTCTGTGATTCAGTCACATTGTAATACTTTTTACAGAAATTTTATGTTGCTTCTGAGCTCAATATTGGATCCACAGTAATGGCATTACTGTTCACAAATTTTTTCTGATCAAGTTAGATAAAACTAAGGAGAACCAGCTTGTTTGACTCATTGTGTTTAGAAAGGCCATCTGGGCAGAAGGAAAAGTAATTAGAAGTTACGATGGTTGTTCAACACTTTGAAAAAATACATTAAGTAAAAATCTGTTGTTTAGTGACAGAAGTGGGAAAATTTCCTCAGCACACATGAACAGTTTAACTTTTAGTTAAAAATTTACAAGAGATAACTAAGTTCTGTATCACCATGTTATCTGGTGTCACAGTGAACTGCACTTTTGCAGCCCACAGCTTAGTCAGAGGGCTGTTCATCTGTTTGTCAGTCTTGAATGAAAAAGCTAAATTACACAATTTTTTTTGTGGATGGCCGTCAGTAGCCAGGGTTTACCATAAGGTTGGCAAGTGAACTTAGAGGTGCCGAGCTAAACCAGACTGGTTTTGAGTTTATTAAATATTAAGATGCAGAGTGACCTTTACTTTTGGAAGGTGTCTAACAGCAACTTTAGATACTGAGGGTTGTGGCTTTGCAGTGGGAGACATTGCTTTGTAAAATTAACAAAGTGATGGAATGAGATGTCGCGCTAAATCATGATCCTGTTGAGAGCTTGTTACAATATAAAAGGTATGAGACCAGAGCCTTGAGGATTGCCACAAGTAAATAGGCTCAATTAGGACAAAAAAATGTTTAATAGTGTCTGAAAAAAGTAAAACAATTGGCAAGAGACGCTCATTGTTGCCTATAATCCAAAAACAACCAAGACCATTATTGACAAGACTGACAATTTTTCATGCCCTAATTTTTAGTGTCTTGAACAGATATGAGCGGTAGGTGTCATCTTCACCTCATCAAATATTTACAACAAATGGCACAAACCAAATGTTCCTCACAAGAGCTTCAAGCTGTTGCTAAAGGTTTGTGTCTGTGAAGGGATATTTTTAATTTCGGTGATCACTGGCAGGTTGAGGTGTCAGATTAAGTGATTAATCACATGCTGTTGATACAGACTTTTCACATGTTGTGAGACAAGGATCCCCCAGAGGTGTCTTCTTGAATGTAAATTTGAATGATTAACTTAAGTGGCCTTTGCCAATGTGTCTATTTACCATGATGGAATCTAATGGGAACCAATGCATAAAAAACAGAAATAACCCCAATGCTAAAGGTAAGGTGCAGTTTTTCTAGTGTCCACTTAGGGCTGGCCTATACTGGTAGGTGAAGGAATGGTGCTGTTAAGCAGCTATGGCTTTAAAATCCTCCTCCTCTTTGGTGTTTCTTGAATTACGCAGAGCCAAGATAGATTTAGCATTTCAAATATGGCAGCCACCATGTTACAGCTTCATGTCAAATCTCTAGAAATCAACGGGCGATATCTCTCAGATTCATTCCAGTCAAAAAAGGCAAAAAAAGATAGTCAGATGAGCTGAAACTCTTAGTGCTTATATTGGTAAAAAGTAATGATAATGTAAACCACATTTTTGGTTAACATATTAAATTCTCTCCTGTAATCTAGACATGGCCTCGGCTCGCATCTTCACACTTGAGGAGCAGCTCCAGTGTTCAATCTGTCTCCATGAATTCACTGATCCTGTCTCTACTCCATGTGGACACAACTACTGCAAGGCTTGTATCACAGACTACTGGGCCAGCACTGATCTGACACAGTGTCCCCTCTGTATGAAACAGTTCAGCACACAACCCCAACTTCAGGTCAACACAGAGTTCAGAGATATGCTGGATCATTTTAACAACATGAGGCTGAGGAGTGAAGATAACATCCTTGCCAAACCAGGGGATGTTCCCTGTGATATCTGTCCTGGGCCAAAATTCAAGGCCCAGAAGACGTGCCTGTTGTGTTTGTCCTCTTACTGCCAGACTCATCTAGAACTTCATCAGGGAGTCACATCTCATAAGAAACATCAGCTGATCGAGCCACTGTCAAACCTGGAGAACAGAGTGTGTAAGAAGCACGACAAGATGTTTGAGCTTTTCTGTCTCATGGACCAGAATTGTGTTTGCGTCATGTGCCTCAAAGATGACCATGTAACACACAAAACCATCCCATTAGAGCTCAAGATCAATGAGAGGAGGGCCCAACTGGTCAATGATGTGGCAGAGATAGAAACAGAGGAAAATACTAAATCCAAGAGTGTAACAGAAATCAAAAATTCAATGGACCAGAGAAAGAAACAGGCAGAGAAAGAGCTGGAGAGCATTGATGAGGTTTTCACTGACCTGATTCTATCTTGGCGAAGGAGCCAGATTGAGTTGACTGACTTGATCAAAGATAGGCAGGAAGCAGCAGAGAAACCAGCCAAAGACCACCTGACCAAGCTGGAGAGGGAAATTGCTGAGTTGAGGAGAAGAAGATCTGAAATGGAGGCGCTTCTACAGAACGATGATGGCATCCAGCTCCTCCAAAGACGTCCCTCTCTCGAGTTTCCTACACATGGGGACCCAATTGACCCTCTGTCCCATTTTGACCAACTGCAACCACCTGAACTCTCTGACATCAGCTCACAGTGTTACCTTGGGATGGTGAGAAAATCTGTGGCTCAGATAGAGAAGACATTTAGCAATGAGATGGAGACGCTAATTCATGAAGTCAGGTTTTCTGACGGCTGTGAGGCGGCAAAACCAATGACAGATGAGTTTATTGAAGAAGTATGGACTCCACCTCAGGACAGGCTGAAGATGATCCAACAATGTAATGCTGTGGATGTGACTCTGAGCAAAAGCTGTCTCCAGTGTGTGGTGTCTGAGGATGGGAAACAAGTGTGCCATCGTGAAGTTTGGCAGTTCTTACCAGCCATATTTAGAGAAAAACATAATTATGAACCTGTTCTTGGGGAGAATGGTTTTACGTCAGGCAGATTCTACTTTGAGGTTCGGGTCAGCGGCTGTGACAGCTGGTCTTTAGGAGTGGCAAAAGAGCCGAACAGTGAGAACTTAATTGAGGAGAGCTGGGAAGTGTATGGATTTAACACCCAATCCCACTACAATAAACAGTATGGTACTAAAGCTTCCCCTTTTTACCTGGAGCAAACACCCGATAAAGTTGGTGT